TAACAGGACAGGCTCAGAAAAGACAACCGAATTCAGCCTTTCTTCTCTGGATCTTCATTTCCCCTTTCTCCTTGCACCGTCTTTGTAGATCTCCTAACAGGTAGAGCTTGCTACTTAGAGGTAAGGAGGCTTTCTTTTGACAGTCTTCTAGCTTTTCCTCGTGGAGGCAGGGCTTTGCTTCGGACTCAGGGTGTGGGACACTTGAAAGTTCTATAAGATACCAAAATATTTTCTCTGTTCTGTTGGTGTAAATGCACATTCACAGAGTTCTGGCATTGTAAAAGACTGGATTTATGTTTGTGCGGTTCTCACTAAGGTCTATAGTTAAGGTGCAGCTTTGGGCTGCATCCTCTCTCTCCTAAAGTAGAGAGAGGACTAAAGTATGAAGGACACATAGTCCCCTCAACTTGCTTGGTGGTATTTTATGCTATATTATGAATTTACACTTGGACTTTACTCTTATGTGTATAGGAAATTCCCAGTTGAAGCAGTCGTGGTTTTAGGGGGGAAAACATGACGGCTGACTTACACTGTACGGCCTTTCAGTGTGTGGAATTATGGCTGCTAACAGAGGAATGAGTGACAGAGTCCCTGTCCTGGAGTTACTGGACCATGGGGAGGTCCATCATGGTTGACTGCAGGAACTCATAATGTTGTTCTTAACAGAGGCAAGAAGCATGCAAACCAATATATTTGTGCCCTGCTGAGGTCCTGTTTAGTGGTTAGGTAAGCTGAGGAGTCTCAGCTTCATTAAAAATGATGTCTAAGGACATCATTTTTAAAGACTGGCGGACATGCTCAGACGATCTGCTTTATTCTTTATTTATCTAAGGCCCCTAATTCTCTGGTCAAGACAGGAAGTGATGACATCATAGCTGAACAATGTTCATAGGGGGTAAGCAGGCCTCCAGCCCATCCCGATCCTGTCCATGGACAACTGTGGGATTTAGGATATCCATTCACTGGTCGACCTTATGAAATCAGGATTTGGATTAGTATCAATAGACATCAACTGAACAGAAGTACCAGTCTACTAGTAAATTATACAGCAGTACGTCCCCTCAGGAAGTCCAGCTGGGACCTGTGAGGCAGCGGTACTGACCACCACACCATCGTGCCTCCCCAGGTTAAAGCTGTATAACAAAGTTGAATTAGGCTTTTAAGGTATAATAGACTAAAAGCTTTAGTGAAAATGTAAAGATCAAAAATCTCAGCTGCCCCCAGGCTTCATGGAACCTTTTCCACAAGTGACAGGCAGATAAGGTCCCTCATGTAATGGCTACTTCAAAGTTATGGCATCTTAAAGTAGGTCCTCTAAGTGCCTGATATAGCACTCTAATGTTCACACATTTAGATGAAAACATGGCTCAGCATATCAGACCAAATATTACCAGAAGCATCACACATTGGCTTAGATACATTGTTAACTTGGAAATAAATAAAAAACAAACGAAACTAATTCAGATTGAGAAATAATAATATGTGAATGAAGAATTCAAGACGTTGACCATCCGTGTGTGTATTATTTAGAGATGAAATCCGCTTACAGAGAGTTTTTGTATGGATGAATATTTTTGCTGGATACTTTCAAGCTTTTTCATGTGTTGCCTTTACATTAACTTACAATGCTGGTAAAACTACTCCCAGGCCTTCTTCTACCTTTCTATTATATCGCCGCTTATTTCACACACCTATGACAGCATTCTTTGTTAAAAGTTTGAAATGTTAAGCAGCAAGCTTATGCTTTAGCTGTGTGTCAGTGGTTGTTTTTATCTTACAGACCTTTCTATTCTAGAATGACAGTCTAAAAGCTCATTAAACTATTGAACACAGTAAACCTGTATTCTGCTGTTAGTAGGTGAACCAACCCCTAAAGCATCAGGGTCAGATTCATTAGAATGAGCAGATCTTAACTTCAAGACCAAAGTTATCCCAGCTGGGGTAAACATGAGAGCAGCCCTCCTGCTCTCACGCTGAGCTCCTTAGCTCTGGTAGAAGGGTCACATATGCAATAAGTTCCTCCTTCCCCAAAACAAGAGCTCATTCACATATGCAGATGTTTTGTGGAAGAGAGCTGCTTTTTTCCAGCGAGTTTACAAGTTGTTTCCAGTTATGAATGACTCAACCTGTAATGAGCACCTTTTATAGCTCTGTACGTGACATCACTATGATGCTGTAGTTGTTCATATGTTATTATTATCTGATGGATGTTGCAATGGGGTTAAAACTGTAGTCTTTTTCAATAATCATGAGACAAAAGGCTGCTAGTGTCCTCATTCCTTTATCTGTGACTATTCTTGACCTTTTCTCCATCAGCCTCAAGAGCACCTTGTTGCTTTTTTGATAAGTTAACTCTTCGAATAACCAAAGCTGTGCCTGTCTACGCACCTTCTGATGGTATGTTTGATGCAAAATCTCAGAGTTGGCGATAGCTTAGTCACAGTAGCTGCATTTGATCCCAACAGGACTCTCCCTTTAACACACACCTTAGTTGTGTGGAGTTTTGGAGGATAGTCCTCTGCTCATTTGCATGTTGTTGGAGCTGCAGATGAAGTGTTGGTCAGCACTTCATTAGTTGTTCCATTGTCTGGGACATGAATGTTGTTCTTTATTGCATCACAATCCAGCTCCATTCTTTTTAGAAAATCACAGGGACTTAGCAAATGTAGTGATTTTTTTTTTGTCCTTACATGATTATACTCCTAAATGTACAACACTTAAACTCAGTGACTAACTTTAAAAGAATAGTTAGTAGATTTGGAAAGCAAAATAACACATTTATTTCTGTCTTGCTCAGTTATTGCTGCTTTCAGAATGAATAGCCAACTTGACTATATTTGGTGTTTTAGCATGCTGACCCTCGGTTCTGTTGCCATTCTGGAGCTGGCTCTACTGTTATCATCCCGGAGGAATTTTCTGGTATTTTTGGCATCTAGGCCTGAGCATGTAAAGAGTCACAGAACTGCAGAATCCACATCGGACTTACACCAATAGTATTGACTCTCTTTCACCAGTGTGGCTGTATGTAAATGTAACACTTTTCCTCTGTTTGGGACAAATACATCAGATTCTATCCACCATGGTCTGCTCACACCAGCTCGTTTTAGAGCCCAAGAAAAAATAGGCCTGACTTTTTTTGTTTTTTTACATTCAACCTCTCAAGTCAGTCTCCTTAAGTTCTAAAGAGACAAATAGGGATGTGTAGTATTTGTATTTTTAATTAAGCTCTTTTCCACCCTGCAACTCCTGGAAGGGTCAGTTTGCCTGTTACTGAATTATAGTCTGACTAGCTGAAACTTACCAAGAGGACCCTTTTAGTAAAGGCTACTCCTAAAATACAACTAGGACTAGAATGGCTCTCAGAGTTTTCTATATTCTGGCCAGTTGTGGAGCTGTTGGCTGGAAGCCCTACTCTTACACAGCTAGAGATCAGCTGCTTCATTGGACTGATGGACTGATTCTGTGATATGGAGTTTGTAGTGACAGTTGGGTGTCAGTAAACACAGTAGGTCGTGCTCTCCTTTACGGTTTAGTTGTACAGTTACATGCATAAAAGAAACTATGTAGTAAAACAAACAAAGAACAAGAACCTGAAGCGTCCTGAGTCCTGAAGGGAGTGATGGATCAAGGATTCTGATTGGATGACCTCAGGCCGTGAGGGCATCATTATGAGGAGTGGCCTGTAAGTGGAGCACTCTGAGGTTCACCAGAATTTAGCTGACTTATTAAAAGTGCCCGGTAGACAGTGAAGGGACTGGAACAGGGGTGGCATCATTCCACTGGTTTGAACTCCCTCTCACTGAGACTGTTGCAGTGGTCTAATACTGAGGAGATAAAAGTGTGAATCATTATCTAAAGTTCACTGGTGAGTTCATTGAGTGTCAAGATTTGATTAAAAAAAGCAGGTCCTAATTTATTTGGAGTGATTTGGGGATGTGTTTGGGATAGAGTTCCATTAAATATGGTGAGAGTATTAGATTTATAGAGTTCTTTAGGATGGGCAGCTAGTTTATTTTGGAATTTCCTCACTTGCACATTTTTGTCACAAAAGTGATTTTTGAAGCAGAGAAACCTAAAACGAAAACCTCAGCTTTACCAATGTTAAGTTCACACCTGCTAAAGATCTATCTGTTAATGCTTTTGTGTGTGTTAGCCAATGGAAAGGTTTTGAAATATTATTTGTTCCTCTATTCATGGACTCTATGATTCAGTTGTAACAAATACACTCTAGAGCTGTTAAAAGCAGCTAGTGTGTGAGCTGGTTTCAGGATTAGAACGCATGGCGTACTGTATGAGTTCTGAAGCACTTGTTTGTTTTAATGTGTTCTTGTGTAAATGAATTCCTTTGAAAAGCCCAGTTGTCAGTTGTTTTATTCTGATAAATAACAAGAAAATGTGCCAAGGAGTGTAATGCAGATGAAAATAATTGAGTTTACCAAAGAATATTAGTCATCTTTAATTGATTGAAAGTCCCTGACCAGTAGAAATCCACCTTAGCTGCCACCCACCAAACGGGACGCTGTCTGCCTTCATATCTCCATTTTCCATCAGCTCCTAATCTCCAGCCACAGTGTGGAGGCTCCGAAGTGGGCCAAGTTCAAGGCTCTCATCTCATTATCCCCCAATTAAACACAACTTTCTTTTTTTCTCTGTAATTATCAAACTAAGGTACAGACTAAACATGGACTGCATGTTTAGTCTTGGAAGGAAGGAAAGTCATTCCAGCTCCCTGAATCTGATAAGTCAGCATTTAATATATTTCTTCCTCTCTCCTTCATTTAAGCAGGATGGTTAACTCTTTGAGCTCAGCAGAAATGTCTGCATTGTAGTCCTCTGTTGTCCCCCACAGACAGCTCTGTCCTCCTCCTCCTCCTCCTCCTCCTCCTCCTCCTCCTCCTTCCCGTATCCCTCTGCTTTTTTCCCAGCCCTCTCCCACATTCAGGAAGCTGAAGCCAGGCCAGAAACCCTGCTCCCTGTTTCCGGTAATCTGTCCCGCAAACCTGCCGTGTAGTAAGTTGGCTCTGACGTGGGAGCCATTGTTAAAAGCCCAGGGGCCCATTGTGCAGAGAGGAACAGCAGCACAAACAAAATCCCCTCTGGTGGAACCAGGAGGAGGAGCCGAGCGGGGGTACGGGGAGAGGGAACCTCTGCTATTAATAGATGAACCACCATCTTCAGGGACAGCTCCCCGGAGGGTTCTGCATGTCCGATCAGCTAAACAAACACCAAGAAAAAGGGAGTACATGGAGGATGTTTCGGAGGGTTTCTGAGCTGTTTGCTTGTAATTATCCATTTGCAGCTTGTGGACATGACTGGCTTTTAACGGCTGAGTCATTTATCTGCTCAAGCTGAAAGAAGCTCATTACTTTCGGCTGTCCTTGTTAAGCTGTGAGCACAGTTTTCTGAGGTGAAAAAGAAAGTGTGTCCTTCTTTTGACTATCAGGCTTTACATATTAGAACATACTTTAAGAAAATAATTAGGTCCGTGGTGGCTCTTAAAACAAGGTGAATGCAGACAATCAGTCAATCAAATAATTATCCTGATTTTTGTTAGCATTTACCATGAGGCAGTGCAGTAAATGTTTTGAAATGGGGGTGTCACCAGGGACTAATTTCCCTCTTCTAACAGGCAGTCCCAGTGCTGTGCCTAAAATTCAGAACCTCTATCAATACCACTCCAGACTTTACCAACAGCTCTGGAATCCAGCTGTCAGTATAAGGAGCACTTCACAGAAAACCATACAACAATAAAATCCAGCCATTGTAAAAAAACACTTTCTCATGACAACATAAGATAGAACATTAAATGTGCATATTAGCATAGTTCCAGTTGTATCTCAGTTATTATAGTTCAACTACAGTATGACATTTCAAACCACGCTTTGTATAGTTGTGTGTATAATTGCTGTTTTATTGGAGACAGTTAGCTGTGTTTTTTATATCAAAAGCTCAACACGTACCCCTGTAATTAGTTTTTGTCCACACCAGAGAAGAGAGAGTGAAGCCAGGGATAAAGTGCTGTAACCATGTGAGGAGATCTGATCAAACCCAGCAGAAGACCACCTCTAAACCGGTTCTCAGTGTTAGCTTCACATTTGATAGACTTGTTTTTATAACATCCATAGTTTTTCTTCACCGTCTGCAAGACTAGAATGTGTAGCCTGACACATTTTGATTAGGGATAAAACTATGTGGTGGCTTCTGGATCATGGAAATAAGTTTGGGTGGCGGTTGTAGAACATGACTAAAGACGGATTGGGTCATTCACTCTGAACAGAACTGACAGGAATAGTCAAACAGCTCTACTAGGGAAAGTCAAAGCAGGTTCTCTTTTGTCTGTCCTGAGTCAGACATCTGGTCATTGCCATGTCAGCTCCCAAAGTCAGTTTTCTTTCGCCTTTTGATTACAGCCCGTTGTAGTTAAGGAAGGAATTTATAGCCGGATCTATGGGACTGATAACAGCAAATTGATTGGCTGATGACACTGGAAGCAGAGATATTCCTGGTGCTCAACATGACTGAAGTTTCTCAGATTTTTTGATAGTTTAATTAACAGCTGGATTCAAAATCTTAATAAGTCATCCTGGTGAAATTTTGGGAAATATTATCAATCAATTGATCAGATGAAGACTGAACATTAGATTGTAAGGTCCAAGTTTTTGTTTAATTCTCACTTGTACTGTCTCCTCAGGACCCCAAGCATTCTCAACAAGGACCCCACAGACAAAAAGCCAAAGACGGAAAAAGGCTCCGTCTCCCTCAAACATGAGTTTGACCCCACAGGTGAGAACTGAATCATTTCTTCTATTTTGCCTGAGATGTTTTAAGCTGCTGCTCTTAGTACAATGCAACTTGTTTTATATTTGATGTAGTCTCCCTTAATCTTGTTGTTGTTTGCTTTTGCTGTTCAAATAAAGAGATGAATGCTTTAATAGTCTAGCTTTAACAGAGAGGTAGTTGGGAGCTGCGATGGTGTGAGTGTTGGCTGTGCTTAGAAAGAAGTTGTTAGGCTGGTTTCCATGGTTACGGGGCTGACATTAATCCTTCCTGTCCTTTTGTTCACCCTGGAGTCTTGAGGCTCCTCATGGAGTCCAGTAGACAGCCAATTATCCACTCAGCTCTCAGATGATTCTTTGGAGTGTGAGAAGCAGAAGGCGCTGCATAGATGGAGGACCGGGAGCTGCTGTCAGAACACAGAGTTCCTGCTGCCAGCAGATAGGGGGTAGAAAGTTACAGATACTGAGGGAGCTCAGGTTAACAGTCAGTTATTCTGCTCCTCACATAATGCGTGAGCTCCATTGATGAAGTGTTTGACATATACATTTAGATACATCTTTGGCTGATGTTTGATACTTGGTTGGAGATTTTACAGCCGTTACTGTGAACCCATCTGATCTTAACTCTCACCCTTAGTAGTTTTAGGACTTGTTTTCAACCAATGTCTGATCTGGAACCACTCTTTTGTGAACCGAGAGAATAAAAGAACCCAGACTAGGCCATTGTGCTGGTAAAGCTAAAAGCAGATCTCTGAAATACATGGACACATGTTCTGTGAGACAGTTGGACTACCACATTTTCGTATTGACGTTGATAGTCGTTTTCACTTTAACTAACTGAAAATGCTTCACAGTCCCCACCCCAGTGTTTTACTGTTATTGAATTAGTAATAAAGGTCTAGCAGGCTGCACATAAGAAGTGTGCCCAGCTTTAGGCTGTTTGAGTTACGGTCGGACGTGATATGAATTTGCTCCCAGCCTAGCGGTCTGCTGCATGAGGCCTCAGCAGAGACATGAAAAGCCCTGCTGCATGCACGTATTCCATGCTTATCTCCCCCAGCGCTGGATGAAAAACTCCGATCCAACCCATATGTGACCTTGCATGTGATGGAAAAACAAGAAAGGACGAATGTCAGTTGACTTTACCATTGCATTCCTTCTCCTTTTCCAAAGGCTTACTTTGCCTTTTGAAGATTGTTTGGTTTTTGAGTGCATTTCAATCTGTTCCACCTTTATTACTCTTCACATGGTCCACAGGTCAAAGCCTCCTTAAATGAGGCTGATCTATCACAAAATAGTACCCAGACATCATGGGTTTTACCTGATCAAATAAAGTTAAGGTGTGGTACTTTTGTTTTGTGATTACATTTTTACATGTTTGTGTTTCACTTTAAGGTGTCCTAAAGTATCAAAAGAAATGGAAAAAATACCTGCAGTAAATCTGTCTGTAAAAAGGGCAGATTGATTGTCAGCAGCAGCTCACCACATGGAAGTGGCTTTGGCTGTTGCTGCCTCAATGACGGATCTAACAATCATACTTTTAACGTAACCCCTGGAATGGGATGTCATACATGTACAAACCGCAGCTATCCTGTATTTTAAAAAAGAGGCCACTCAGTGAAACATCTCTCACCCAGTTCTCACTGAGGAGAGCAGAGTGCTATTTATGAAGCTGTTTCTGTTCAGGCTCTTGATTTGTCATTTCCTGTCTGGAGACTTTTTCCCACAAGTGTTTACCCCAAACTACATAGAAAAGAATGAGAATAATCTAACTATAATATGATGTTAATGAGATATGAAAGACACGTCTTAGGCTGTTTTACTTCTTTTAAAACATCCTTTGTGGGAAAATGGCAGGTCTGGTCCAGCGCTGTGTGATCATCCAGAGAGATGAAAACGGCTTTGGTCTGACAGTAAGTGGAGACAACCCTGTGTTTGTGCAGCTGGTCAAAAAAGGTAAGTCTCCCTCTCTCTCTCTTATTCACACACACACACACACACACACCATTTGTGACGTAGCTGTCTTTGTGTTTGAAGATGGAGCTGCCATGCGAGCGGGTGTCCAGACAGGAGATAGGATCATCAAGGTCAGCTTAATGTCCTGAAACATGGTGTTGAAAGGTCTAGAAGTGGCTTACAGGATGTTCTGATCAGATCAGCATCAGGTTTACTTTGTTTTAATGAAGAAGCTTGTCATTTTCATTCAAAGATCCACCTAAATGTATGCATTAATGCCACTAAGCATCAACTGGTCTCACATTTGTTAGAAAAATGTCTGATATCCTAGAATTGGGATTGAGCTGTTCATTTCAAACTTTTTAAACTAGACTGCATACTACAAATACACCGCGAGGAGGAAACGCTGTGGTGGACATCTACCAGAAAGAGGGAGGAGGAAGGATAACTTTAATCCCCTAGAATATGTGGCATATCATACTGTTGCAGAGAGCACAGGCTGTAGTGTGCAAACATTTTCAACGTGAAAGAAAGCATCATTTTTGCTGTGTTTTATAGGACTTTTCATGTAGTGATTGTCGGATACACACCATTTCTTCTCAACATTAGAAATGTGTGTAAAAACATTTGTAACATGCTTTCATGCTTTCATGCTTCTTCTCACAGGTTAATGGGACCTTAGTTACACATTCAAATCACACAGAAGTTGTAAAGCTGATCAAATGTAAGTAATCACTTTTCATTCTTACCAGTATTTACCTTAGAAAACCCCAGGTACTAATTTAGTTGTGTTGAGATTTTTCATTTTGACCCATGCTAACATATTTGAAATCAACTTCGGCCCCTAAAGAAGTCCAAGCTGTTGTACCTTACAAAATACACAGCCAAAACCAATTTAGCGTGATATAATGATGCTGTTTTTCTTTTCAACTCACACACAGTTGATTCAAATATCATTTACATTTTAATGTTGTTGGACAAATCTCCCACTCGGCAGTTTTTCCCCTCCCCTCACTCTCTGCCCTCTTTCTGAATTTGCTGTGGCAGCGGGGTCCTATGTCGCCCTGACGGTTCTGGGAAGGCCTCCAGGGCTTACTCAGAGCTCCCTGGACGAGGAGAAGGAAGGGGAAAAGGAAGGGGAAGATGCTGGCTCGCCCTGCTCTCTCTCAGCACCAAACTCCCCCACCCTGTCTGCCGGGGGGCAGGACAGCTCCCCGGGCAGCCCCCAGCTCCACGGAGTAAGACCAGTACAATAGTTGGACTGGGATTGTGTGGAATCATTTAGAAGTTGTGCTAAATATTCACTGTAACAGCAGATTGATGATGAGGGAGACTGCATGCAATCGATACAACCTTAACAGGCTGGAATAGTCCATGGTGGGCAGCTCTGGCATGTTGCCTCTCATCCCTGCATTTTGGGATGACTTGCACATCTCCAGAGGACTCTAGAGATTGCTGTGCCATTTCAACATAACAGATAGCTGGGTGGTCAGATTTATGCTCGCTTTAGTTTTCAGCCTGAAACTGACTGTTATTTTTTAAAGTTTGATAAAGTTTGTGGCTACATCATCTAGCTGGTAGAACCCATGCAACTCATTATTTTTAATTAGCTTTATCAGGGCAGGCTCTAACTGCCAGCTGCTGCATATCAGCACTGTTACGCACCGCTCCAAAATGTTCAGAGCAGCTCACAATAAGTTTAACAGGACTTGTTTTTCACTGGATAGTTGATGATGTGTTTCTTTTCTTAATCCTACTAAGATTGGGTTCTCTCATTTTTATCCACTGCTGTATTGGCCATATTTATTTCCTGTGATTTATTAGTTTAGGGTTGCCTAACATTTTGGATTTGATGTCATTCCAATTCCTTTGGGCTTTTATTGTTTTGTATGCCCCGTTAAGAAAAAAATAGACACTATACACACTCAACATCCATGTAGCTTATTAACGAGCGTCATAAGTGAATGACTGAGCAGCAAATGTGCCTCTAATTTGATATGAATTCACTGAGATATTCACACTGAAAGTTATATGATGTGAGTTCACTCAGCTCTAAGTCTGCCATGTGGGCAGCCTCCTCATTGGGCGGTCTTGAAGTGTAGCTGAAGATGACACGACTTCCCCTCTCTGAGTCGATTGGAACTGATCAAGGGTGAAATGAATCGTGTTTCAGGACAGAGCATGTGGATCCAGGAATGGTCCGGACAAAGAGGCAGATGGAAGCCCTCCCCTCCAGGACCAGATGTTGCCCTCACACTGTGACGGTAGACCCTTGAGCAACAGCAGTGCTGTGAGTATAGTTCCACATCGAAGCCGTTGGTGTGGAAAGCTGTGAGGAGACACTCTGTAACCTTCTGTTTCATTTGAGAAATGAATGACTTAAGCTAATTTAAAACATCTGAGCTCTTTGTCACAATAAGATAAATTACTAACTGCTTTGTTTGTATTCTATAATCAAGAATTGAACATCTCCAAGCTTTTTCCCTGTTTTTCAAGCTTTCAGATCTAGAAAACTAGCTTTTACTTGACCCAATCAGATTACTATGGATGCTTTTTATTGATCCTTCATACTAGCATATTTTGCAGAAAATATTTACTATGGATGAAAATATAGGTTAGACATTTGTTAACCTCGTACAGAGCTGTAACAGTGTGCTTACTTTTAACAGGCGATAATGACAGAATGTGTCTCAGATGACCATAAAATCATTTCAGCAGCTTATTCTTCTCATGTATTGTTTGGATAGTAAGACTACAAAGTCCAAGTTTAGTGAAAGTGTCTTCTGACTTTTTACTGGATTTTAAGAAATGAATATTTACAGGTGCCCCAACTGACCAGGGTATGGTTTCTGATCATGTGGTAGCAATAGCTTTAGCTTCAGGTTAAATACAACCCAGCGGGGACCCTGCTTAAACACACTCTTTGGTAATAGCAGCCCTGTTATCACAAGCTCTATAAATAGGAATGAAGTGGTTTGACTTTGCAATCTGTGTGGGGTTTCCCGGTAGTCCGCACCAGACCAAACAATCCATTTCTTTTAAATGAGGTAATGTGTCTGTATGTGTATATTTTGTGTGTGTCAGATGAACAGCAGCCCTGTTGTAGAGAGTTCTGGAGAAAAAGAAACGCCCTGTCAGAGCCCGGACATCAGTCCAAGAGATAACCCCCATTTCTGCCTACCATCCCATGTTGAAGACACCCCCGATGCTGTGAGACACTCAGACACACACACACACACACACACACACACACACACACACACACACACACGCGCGCACACACACACACACGCACGCACACACACACTCACACGCCTGGTGCTTACTCCTTACTTTGGTTGTGTAACGTCATTAGGAAATCATTTTTAAGCATCAAAAAGCAATGTTTTTATGCAGTTTTTATACAATTAGAAATACTGTACAAACTTTTTGCTTTGCCAGACTATGTTTGTGAATCAAGATAAACAGTTGCTGAGGCATTAAGAGGTGTTGGCATCTAATGCAGACTGAAGTTGATGATTTTCAGACTTTGTCAATGTCTGGTTTGAATTGCAATTAGGTCGATTTAGCTGCTAAAACAACTTGGTTAGATTTGGGGAAAGATCATTGCTCTGGCCGACATCAGAAGGGAAACAAGGAAGTGCTGCTTTTCTTCATGTGTGGTCAAAATGCATGTAAAATAAAAGGGTCCCACATTGGGACCCTGGTAAGATGAGGGAAAAGATACATCCATTGGTGTGTTAAGAGGCCTTGTTTTATCTCACGTTACCCTGAAAATGCCTTTTTATCATCATATCAGAATAGCACAGTCATTTGTTTAGGTCATTTATTAGTATGGGAAGTTAGGACTGTGCCAAAACGTAAACTGAATTGATCGTTACCTTAACAGCACCCAATGAGTCATGACCTAAATCAGAGATGTCTTAGATTACTTCTCAAATCACATGAATTCTACTTCATATGCAGCAAGAGATAGAGGTGGATTCAAATGGGAACTAGTGTGATGCAACATCTCTCCTCTACAAGCCTTTTTACAGCATTCATCAGAAACTGGAAGCCTTTTTTGGTGACAAATATTTTGTTGTGGGCAATATCTGTACAATGTGCTTCTTGGAAAAAAGGCTAGTCTTTTTTGTCCCAGATAGGTCTTGTTTTAAACAAGGCTGGATGATTGTTGAATTGTTGTGTCAGGACTCCAGTGCCCAGGCCCTGGTGGGTGGTCCTCCTTACCTTCTGAACCCCCTGATTATTGGAGCAGAGGACGACTACTTCGATTGCCAGCAGGAGCAGGTAGTTTTAACCTCATTCAGCCACTTTAGTGACTTCCTCCAGAAGAATTAGCTTGACTGGCCTTATCTGGTAATCTGATCTCTATCTGCAGATTAACGGACAGTGCAGCTGTTTTGAAAGCATTGACCTGCTGAAGTCTCGACCAGCTCACCTAGCAGTCTTCCTCCATCACGTGGTGTCCCAGTTTGACCCCGTTCCTCTGGTGAGCACAAACCAGCACAGCACAGACACACACCACTTTATGCACTGACTATATGAGCTAAGCAGTTCGGGACTAGCTTGTGTATGGTAAATCTCATTATTCCCTTTGAGTGTCTCCTAGACCACAATTCTCAAATAAACAAAGCTGCATTTCTTAGAACTACAAACCTTTATTGTACGTTGCTTATTAATTCCAGTAAAAAAAAAAATACAAATAAAGAAATAAGGCCAAGTAACTTCTTTAGACAGTTGGACATTGTAGGTTTCAGAAAACTTTATAGTTAATATCTTCTAAAAAATACCAACGGTTTTGAATGATGCCATACTTTATGGCCCAAAAAATGGCCTATTCTGTTTAAAGAACTAAAAAAGGAATTTAGTAAGATAGTAAATCCTTTAGGCGGGTTAGCATAGTATTATAGGTTAGCCAGACATACTCATAACAGTAATATTTGTTTGTGTTTACAGTTGTGCAGCTTGTTTCTGGTCACCAAAATAAACCTCACAACTGTGTCCTTTATCACTGATAAATCCAAAGGTGTATATAACACCAGTTAAAAGGATCCAGAATGAAGTGAAGTCTTGTGGTACTCTAAATGAGTGGACCCAGGGTGGGTCCTTGTGGAATGGCATTGGAAATCTGGCATTTTTCAGTTTATTTTTCATTGAAACAACGTGACTTTAAATGAGATGTGTAAGCAGAAATGTCATGAAGACTTACCATGCTTCTCCCCCCCAGCTGTGCTATCTCTATGCCGACATGCATAAGCAAGCCAACTCCAAAGAAAGTCGGCGCATCTTTATGGAACTCCACTCCCTCTTCTTAGAGCGAACAGCAGTGAGTTAGTTTCTGTTGGATTACCGATCTCATTCCCCTTCTCTGATTTACTGGACTTTTGGAGGATGTCCTTTTTACTCCTCATCTGACTGTTTTGCAGAATCTCAAAGTGGCGGTTCCTGAGACAGTGGCAGCTGAACTGGGTAAGGTGTGGGTGGACTGAAAACGCATCCGAAGATCTCAGCTGTAGACTACAAATGATAATAAGACATGTTCTCAAAATGAGGAATTGAGTACGTTGCTGAAATAGATTAAAAGAAATATAGTCAATCCTAAATGAATGAGGCTGGCGAGGCATGGAGGAGTGATTTTCCTTCTTTTCCAGTCTTTTGTCTCTGCTGGCCGGTAAGAGGCTTCACTGTGGGAAGTCCATGACTTTCAACGAGGGTTGACCAAAGATTATCAAGAAAGCAAATAACTGTTCTGGTTCATACCTGGGATGTAAATTAAGGAAAATTTAGAAAATAAGAAGTAAAGTCATTTTACATCCCTGTCCTGCCAGTATTTAAATGTTAATTCCTTTATAAGTATCACAAGTGGAACACACAATAACTTAAGTTATACTTTATGCTGGTATGTTTATTGGTGATGATAAGATTATATCTTTACTATGTTTTTAAAGTTGACATTCATAATAATTTGCTTTAACAATCCAGTTCAACCAATTCAAACCTTTGAATGGTGTAGTGGGTTTATACATGTTAAATGTTTGCCAGTCTGCTATGTAACCATTCTTAAATCATGTCTTAGATATCTAGTAAAACTGGAGCTTGAAAGTTCCACATTTTAAATCACAATTTCTAACTTTCTTGCAATATGTGCAAATATCTATGTAGCTCACATGACAAAAGCCTGACCACAGTGAAACCAAAAGCTGACCTTTAGGTCCCTGAAGAAGACTGAACATTTATTATTGGTATTGTGTGTCTGTGTGTGTGTGTGTGTGTGTGTGTGTGTGTGTGTGTTAGAGAAGCGGAAGCCGGAGTTGATCCCAGAAGATTTATGTAAGCAGCACTCACAGGTGCTACAAGACTCACTTCTAGCAGACCTGCACAGAAACCTGGAAGACTTTAGGTATGAGCACCTCAGCAAACCCGGCAGACTCAGACACTCTCAGTCATTATTTCATGTCCCCTAAAGGTGTGTGTGCTTGTGTGTAGACAGAAGCGCAGCATGGGTCTCACGCTGGCTGAGGATGAGCTGTCCAAGCTGGACTTGGATGAGGGCAGAGACCAGCAGGCGTTGGAGAAGGAATGCTCCTGTGCCGAGCACATCCTCTCTAAGATTGAAGATATCCTGTGAGTCTCTGTGAGCACACACACCCCCAGACACGCGCGTGTGTGTGTGTCATGTCCTTACGCCGTTGTGTGTGTGTGTGCTGTTGCAGGTTGACCTCTCAGCCATCAGAAGAGGAGAAGTGGTAAGAAGAGGGGTGTTTTTGGTCTGTATTTTACATCAGCATTCAGCCTCACGACTGCTGCTCTCTAGAAGCATTTTAGTTTCTGTTCTGCTCCGGTGCAGCCATTTAGAACTGGATGAGTAAGTGCCTACATTTTTAATCCTGTTCATCAGGAAATGCTTCAGAAGATGATGGAGTTATGGTTTGAGCTCTTGTGATATTTTTCTTCTGTGTCAAATAGAACCGATGAGCGCTGTAGAGTTTGATCAAACGGAGGAAATCTTTTGTTATTGTTTTTCCTATGAGCAGCATGCTTTTTATTAGTGTTAGTTAATGCTTTTATCTATATTATCATGGACCACATGGAACCATTGAAAAGGGCACCTGTTGAATAAAGATCCTTACTTTTGTTTCTCACCTGCAGCCAAACTATGCAGTATGTGATTCTCTCCTATATGAAGCACCTGGGGGTGAAAGTGAAGGAACATCGTGGGCTTGAGCACAAACGTGCACGTATGAATTTCCTACCCAAGATTAAGGTACAGCCCCATGCACACAGAGACTTTAGTAAAAGCATAACAAAGGTGTCAGCATTCCAATAGAAGCTAGTTTGTTTAAGCCCCCGTTTGAAGAAATAAGGACTTCATTTTTTCTCCAGGTGAAAAGAGAAAATCTGTTTTCCAACATCCTTGGCCCCCCCCGGCGTCTGAGCAGAGTGGAGTCCACGTCAGGTGAGGAGAACAAACCCCTGTGAGCCCTCAGTGTGTCAGGTTGACCTGTGTGATTATGCGGGGGCCTGTGGGTTTCTGTGCAGTGGGGAAAGCCGTGGAGCTCAACAAGCAGAGGTCCCCAAAGCTCAGTCAGCAGGGCCCCGGGATTCCAGACCCGCCCGACCCCTCTGCAGCAGGTCCCGGGAGGAGCCGGGCCAACCAGCTGAGTGAGGGGTCCGACACCAGCTCTCAGTCAGGGACCTCCACCCCCTCACTGCCTCACAGCCCCCCCGCCGCCCAGGCCCCCGATAGTAGTGGACCAGAGGCAGACCCCAGTAAGACATTCCTGTTTTCAATTCTAGGTTCTCTTTTTGAAGAACTTTCTCGGGGCATTGACTCATCTTATAATCAGTTTATTCCTAATTTAGCCTGTTATGTCATTTAGGCAATCTCTGACTATCCAAATATCTTAATTGTCTTATTGTGAAGGTTATGGTGTATTTAAAATACAGAACAAAAAGAGGCTCCTTTTTTTTTTTACCACATTTGGGTTTTGTGAAAGCTTTTTTTAAATTCAAGCTATTGTTTTCTGTTTAGTTCTCAGTCTTTGAAGAATAAAAGTAAAAAAGGCAAAGGTTAAAGTGGGATGATGTAGTGGAATATTAAAAGGATTCACTTATCTCACCACGATTAGTTTATAATGTTTAGAACATTTTTCTAAACAGATTTGATAAAATCTAAGAGACCTTTTTATATGGTTAGTCCTCTGTTACTACTTTTATTTGAGTTCAGTCCATTTGATTTAACACACATTTTGACGTATAAATCAGCCAGCTTGTTAGAAATGGAAACCATTCGGCATGGGAGCAAATGCATCTGTCCGAGGGGCAGCTGGAATAATGACTGGTTGAAAACAATTAGCTCTACCAGATCAATTCACTTACTAAATAAATGGATTCTCCCATGCTGGGTCAGGACAGAAAGGAGACTGATGCTTTGTCATGAGCAAAGGCCTCAGACACACAGATGACTCTCAGCTCTAAACTTCCTGTGAAATGCTTTGCAAGTGAGGCAAAAGAGTACTGTTGATATGTTCTTTCATTCTTTTCCCTCTGTCCTTCTGCAGATGTCTCTCCGTTGTGCGTGCAGCCCAGGCTGAGTGATGGCGTGCAGTCTGGAGACAGCCACGACAGCCTCCCCAGTCCAGGCAGCCCCCAGTTCGACTTCAGCCCCTCCAGCCTGGAGCAGCAGGAGGAGGATCAGGAGGCCATCGGGTATTTAGGGTTTGGATGGGTTAATCAGGCATCTAGTTCTTGATGGGAAGTTGAAATGAATTTGAAAGAGAATGTAATAATTAATGTTGTATTCAACCCCCCCTGTAAGAAAGTCCATCAGCTTCTAGAGTAAAGGACTCTCACTGAGCTCCTAAATGAGACAATGGTTTTACATTTAGATCAACATTCTTTTATACAGTAAAACAGAATATCTTTATTTTTATTTCCAAATGAAGCTAATTGAACTACAGGTCCAGAATTTAAAAAGAGACTTTTGTAAAACATTTTCTTTGTAATGCATTTGACTTGCAGTCGGATGGAGGTTCACTGTGTGGGGAATTCAGCCGACATCCAGAGTGAGGATGACCAGGCAGCTGAGTGGGAGAGTGAGGAAGACCCTCTGAACTGGCAGAGGCTGGTCAGCCGAGGCCTGCTGGCCAGCTTAACGCCAAAGGAAATCAAACGGCAGGAAGTTATCAATGGTGAGGGATCAAAATGGTCAGCTTTGTTAACCCTTTAAAGCCTGATCCAACAATAAAACTAAACAGAAAATTATTATTTTTGTTTGAATTCCTTATTTGGCCTTTTACCAAAATATGCAAAAAGAAAAAACAGAAATACATTTTTAATATTAATGATTTATTACTATGTGATTATTTTTTGTGTAGTATTCTGCCCCCTGTTATCAGGTGTATCTGATTGTGTACAATAGGATTTTGAGCAAAGTTTTTACCATTAAATTATGCAAAACATTTCAGAAACCGTATGTATCAAATATGACACATTTGGCATTACAGGGTTAAAGGTGCCCTGCCACTCGTATTCCATTGCTTTAGTGATTATGTTTGAAGTTCTACAAAGGACTCTGTAACATTTTTTGTGGAGAAAAATGCCTTGTTTACCTTGGAAACCTGCTGGAGACTCAGCTCATTTCCATCTGTTCTCATGAATATTAAACATGCTAATATGCTTGTTACTGATTGGCTAACATGTACCAAATGAGAGCCTATCTTAACTAGATTACACACATAACTTTAAAAATCTGTAATGTGTTTGGTAAAACGGAAAAAATACCAGCTTTGTTTGTATTTAGCAGTAATCATAATAGTGACTGATGGTGCCCATGTCAGAGCTTTAAGCTCCCTGGGAGTAACCCATTGCTCTGAACCTTTTCATTTCATAATATAATTAGCAAAAATCCGCTTCGTGTTGTCTTTTGCGTTGGTTAAGAAGTTGGGCCACATGTGCATTGTGGAAGTTCTGTTTGAGCATATCACAAAAGAAGGTTCAGCCATCCTTAATGTATATGAAAACGGTCTCTGTCTGAGCCACGCACGTACATACACGTCTATGTATATATCTATATATGACATATGGCATATAAAGCTAGCTGAATTCTGTGGGTGCAATCTCAGCTGGGCGAACTAATGAAAAGCTAATGAGCTCAGTCAATACTGAGCTCATTAGCTTTTCAAACCGGCAGGATTTTAAAAAATATAAGTGAAAACGGTTTTGTGTGGAAGGGCGCCTTTAATAGGATGAAATACCTGTGTGTTATATGCATATTAATCCAGCCGTCCCCTCTAATGAGCTTGTTGTCCGTCCTGCAGAGCTGTTCTACACTGAGCGTGCTCATCTGCGCATGCTGAGGGTGATGGACTCGGTTTTTTGCCAGAGGCTGAACAGAGATGGCATCATTCCACCAGAGGAGATCAAACACATCTTCAGTAATCTGGAGGAAATCATTCAGCTGCACGGTAACTTTGTTCTCACTCATCAAAAGCCTTCATGTGGTAGAGAGATGGCATAAACTCTGGCAACCAAAAAGAAAGCATTTGCCTGTAACTTTGAAAGCATAAAAACATTTTGACTTGATCTGGTAGGGCTGTTTTTTCTTTCTGTACCTTCCTTTCTTATAGATATCACAGACACATGTGCTTAATGAAAAGTGCTTAATGCCTTTTTTTTTATCAGGTGTGGGCTAAAATCAGGGATGTATTCAGACCAATGAAGATGCATTTTAAAGTCTTCTCTTCTCTCTGCTCAAACTGATTTGTTTAATATTCTTTTCCTACAACAATTCCCTTGCCAAAATATTTAAGTACTTTTCAAGTAGAGATTCTTTCCATCTCCAACAATGAGAGCCCAAAGCTTTCCTGTGTATTATGCTGGAGCTGTCAAGATGATGGAATGATGTATTTTGTACCTTAAAGTTTTTCATTTACTGTATAATAGAATGCAATACATGCAGTACAGATGGATCCAGGCTCAAAATGAGTTTACGCAAGATGCTTTACAAGCCCAGCATTTGTCAGGACCTGTGTTAGAAAAGAACTCAGCGACCATTCATTCTTCGTACATTTGTTTACAGATGTATCAGGTTAATGATTGTCTCAAACAGATAAGTCAGAGCAGCAGGTCAGCAGCTCCCTCTGATTAAACAGAATAAATACCAGTGCCATGATTCAGCAGCAGGCAGCGGCACAGAGCAGCCTATAGACCATGCTGGGAGTCTTTAGTGTTCTCTCATCAAAAACATCAGGACGCATGCAGTTCAAACTGATGACGCTGTCTTTCCTTCCTTTCCTTTTCCTGACACTTTGCTCCAGTTTCTGTAACGGAGCAAATGACGGCCATCCGGAAGAGGAGCGAGACGTCAGTAATTGGTCAGATCGGAGAGGATCTCTTGGTTTGGGTAAGACTGCTTCCCCTGATGCACGAGGCAGATTAGAGGCCCCGTCTCCACAAAGGCTGCATTCAGCCAGCTGCAGAGGGCTTTTGTAATGTGTACGGAAAGAGTGTTCCACTGCTGCTATGACGGCAGAAGAACACTCGCATACCAGGTTAGACATAGAGAGGAAGAAAACTGGGAGGAAGTTTGACATGTTTCTCACATCCACAGTTGAGTTTTTAAACTCCAGTTGAAATCAATATCTCTACATCTCATTTATGTGTAATAGACACATATTTTATCCCACATGAAAAGTGTATCTGCATTAAAGTCCGACATTTGCTTTGTCTTTATGCTGATTTCAGTTCAGTGAAGAAGAGGAGGAGAAGATCAAAAGAGCAGTTGGCACCTTTTGCAGCAACCAGCCATCTGCCCTGGAGCTCATCAAGACCAGGAAGAGGAAAGACCAGAGGTTCAGCCTGTTCATGCAGGTCAGAAAAAGCCCCCCCCCCCGTCCGTCCATGTGGGAGGGACACTGCAGCCCGCTCATTCAGAAGAGCTGCTCTTATCTTTTCTCACTCATTAAGGACTCCATTTGAATCATGTTCACAAGTTAATGAACCAATATGTTTCCTGGTATGCCACGGAGGTTTCAGTGACCCTCCTAATTTCACGTACCCCCCCTCGTCGTTCCTCAGGAAGCGGAGAGCAACCGCCTGTGTCGCAGGCTGCAGCTGAAGGACATCATCCCTGTGGAAATGCAGAGGGTCACCAAGTACCCTCTGCTACTGGACAACATAGCTAAATACACAGGTATGAGAGGGGGGGGGGGGCTGCTGTGCTCCGTCCTGACGGAGCTGCTGATGACCTCGGCTTTTCCCCACAGAGGATGGCGAGGAAAGAGAAAAAGTGAGGAAAGCTGGCGAGTGTTGTAAAAAGATCCTGAACCACGTCAACCAGGCAGTGAAGGAGGCTGAAAACAAACAGGTAACGGACCCCCCATCAGGCTGTGCTCCACCTGCTATGACGGGTTTACAGGGCTGCCTTCTGTCCCGCAGAGGCTGGAGGAGTATCAGCGGAGGTTGGACTTGTCATCTCTCAAACCCAGTGAGAACCCTGTGATCCTGGAGCTGAGGGTGAGACGGCTCTGCTTTTACTGGGATGCTCTGAATGTAACGATCAGATGCTGGTTTGGTGGAGCCTGTGGTGATGCTGGGCTGTTTGATGCATGAACAATGAAAGTTGATCATTCTATTGCAGAATCTGGACATGACCAAGAGGAAGATGGTGCATGAGGGACCTCTCTCTTGGAAAGTCAATAAAGACAAAACAATCGGTAGACACACCCTTTGAGAGCATTTCAAGCGTGTTAAGTTACATTTGTAACTGAAATACCTTACATTGTGTGTTGCACTTACCGTGTGTTGCTTTCAGAACTCTACACAATCCTCCTGGAGGACATCATAGTTCTACTGCAGAAACAGGACGAGCGTCTGGTGCTCAAGTTTCATGGCAAGAACGTGGCCAGTGTGGCCGACACCAAGCACATCTTCAGCCCCATCATCAAGCTCAGCACCGTGCTGGTGCGGCCTGTGGCCACCGGTAAGACCGGCCAGAACCCCCCAGCCGGGAGCAGCACACAGAGGGGGCAGCAGGGCTGCTGTGCTGCATGGTAGAGAGCAGCCCCATGAGTCTGGCCTTAATCTGCTCAAAACCGTGCAAAATCCCCCCTATTTTTGTCTTTGGTGTATTTTTATGTATTTGTGTTAATGAAAAAACATTAGTCTCAGATAATTATTGTGGAAAGCAACAAAATATTGAGTTCTACAAGTTAAATTCTTGATAGAGATATATGTCATCACAGCAATTATATAGGCTGACTACTGTAAACGGACCTTGCCCTAGTGATGACCAGCCTGGTCAACAGCTCTAATGGTTTGGGCCGGCAGCACCAAAGGTTTCAGCAGTGAATTTATATAAAATAGGTTTCCAGGTCCCTGGAAAGGTGTGGATAAAGCCTAACCCCCCCCCCCAAACAAAGCCCATGTTGTTCTGCTCAGCCTCTGCTGTGTTTTCCAAATGTCCTGATGTAGATGATGCTCACACATCCAACATGTTAAAACGCTTCCTATGCCCAGCTGCAGAAGCCTGTGGAACCTCCCTGCCTGGTCCAGACTGCTACATTTACACACCGCAGTCCTCATGTGTGACATGCTGACACAAACTTTATGTGGCATTATGCTGTACACCTGACGGCAGAAACCTGTCCAGGTGTTCCCAGCCCTCCGCCAGTGGCTTTGTAATGTGAATGAACACTCTGTGAACATCATCTACTGACCAGAGTGTCACACTGGCAGATGTGCAGTCAGAACATCTGTTTGAGGATAAGGGCTGAGCCTGTAGAGCTGTTTCTGGGTCTCCTCCCATTAAAAAGCTCAATTATATTGAATATTTCAGTGGTATCACAATTAGACGGATTGAATATTTCCAGGCTTTAATTTGGGATTAGTTAACTGACTTCAACTCTGACATGTTTCGTATTCATTTCCTGGTTTACAGACAACAAGTCTTTCTTTGTGCTGTCCATGTCGGAGAATGGGGCTCAGATCTACGAGCTGATGGCTCAGACGGTTTCTGACCAAAGAACGTAAGTGTTCCAGCGGGACGCTCCTCTCCCGTCTGTTAGGGGGCTCACGTGTCTGCCTCTGTCTGTCCAGGTGGCAATGCCTGATCACACAGTGTGCTGACACCATGAAGGCCAAAGCTCACAACAGGAACATCCCCCCAGCTCAGGCCAGGTGACCCCCCCCCCCCCCGATACCCTGTGCTCACTGATGCTTTAGAGAAAGTTCCTCCTTACATCAGGTTTCTTCCATCATTTCAGAGCGGAAAGGGATGCTATTGAGATTATGGACCAGGAGATTCCCAAACAGAGCATGGAGCCCACCAGGACCCCCAGTGAGAGTATCCCGTATTCTGCAGGTATCTGTGGGGGGCGGAAAGGTCCTCAGGGTGGACAAGTATGGGTCACTGCTGTCAGGGTTACTGGAGAAGCATTTCAACACAAATATTACCCTTAAATTCATTCAGCATGCTTTAAAATGATGAGTTTTAAAGTACTGATTATTGATTCAATATTATACGTCTGATTGCAAACTGACTAAAATTGCTCTTTAGAAATGCTACATTCCCGGTAGACTGACACACCTTGTTGGACTTAAATCTGTTTGTTTCAGAGAAAGACGCCCATTCCGCTGATGTACAGGTTCCTGTCAACCCCTTTGATGACCTGAAATCAGAAGACGAGGAGGAGGACCAGCCCGTTTTGAGGAGTCCAGGGAAAGAGGGAGAAGTAGAGGGAGAAGTAGAGGTTGATGAGGCGGAGCTGGAGGCCTTCCTGGACGGGCAGCTGGCCGACAGACTTCTGCAGGAGGGCTCTCGTCAGGGCATTGCCCTGGAAAACGATGTGCACTCTGTGTTTGCCCCCCCCTCCTCCAAAGCTGAGGAGGCTCTGCGGACGTGTAAGCCGTTTCTGCTGACCTCTGCTCTTCTTGACCCGCTGCTGTGGCTCTGGCCGCTGTAACTGGGGAGGACTCTCCGCTTCTGTTCCAGTGGCAGCGCTGAAACAGGCGCTCTTCAGCCAGCTGCTGAGCAGAGAAGCCCAGGAGGATGCTGGGAGCCAGCAGAGTGAGTGTGTGGCTGTGAGCCCTGGGGGGCCCTGTGCTGCTGCTGCTGCCTGTGAGGAGGGCAGCGCCCCCGAAGCTCCAGGGAAGGACCCCCCCCAGGTGGCGCCGGCCCTCACGGGGCCGTGCGAGGAGGCGGAGCATAACAGTAAGGCAGTGCCCAGTGAGGACCTGACCCCTGGTCCAGAGCGCTGGACCTCACAGGCGTTTTTTCTCCACCCAGATGGCTTTGTGGTTGTGGATTTTGGAGGGCCCCCCCGGGAGCCCAGCGCTGATGAGCTGGCCGCTGATATCGGCATTGACATGAGGAAGCTGCTGTCCTCATCCTCGCTAACGGGAAGTGGTGGCCCCAACCTCAGCCGGCAGCTCATGACCCACCTGCGCCTCCTGCAGGCCGACCTGCAGTATCTGAAGGTACTGGGGGGCCGGCCCGTTTAGCCCAGTTAGCCCAGTTTATGAAAAAGTTCCCTCCCATCATCCTTTACTCTGATGTTGTTCTCATCTAGTTGAACCCTTCGAGGTCAGCTGTCATAAAAGCAGCCACTTGTCAGAGATATTTTCCTTCAACGTTTATTTTACACTACATGGATCAAATGTTCAGCCGGATGAATAGGAAACATAATTTACTGATTGCTAGTTTCCTGATAAAGTGTCCCACTGAACCCAGAACACGTTGATAAGACGTGTCCATTTTGTGCGTTTGTCCTGTGGCCTGCTGTAAGGTGGTTGTGTTGTGCTTCCAGGAGGTGGAGATGAAATACAGCCAGCTGCGACAGATGCACAGCGACTCAGACCACAACACCGGTGCGGGGGGGCGTCTCTGGTGGGGTTCCAGCTGCACGCACAGGGCCTGTTTCACACACTTTCCTCTGTGTTTCAGATGGGATCCACTGATAACATCAGTGAGGATGAGCCAGCTTTCATCCCTCTGTAAGCACTGATGTCTGAAGGATGTCCCCCTGCAGGCACATAGGAGTGGAGGGGTTATCGTAACGATCAGGATTCTTCTCCAGACTCTGGTCCAGCTGGACAGGACAGAAAGCGTATGGATCACTCATGGACATGTCTGGCTATGAATCTAATCAACTGCCTAAACACTGGATGGAACTAAAAAGGGGAAATGTGTGAGGTCTGCATTTAGAAAGAAGACTTATGCCTCAACAAGCAAAAGAAACAAGAGACCTGAATAGCAACTCTCATATACCAACATTTCCTCCTAGATTAGAATATGTTGAGCGAGAGGGAACATCATTATTACCTAAAATGTCTTTGAAAGGTTTTCCATGTTTTCTTCATGTATTTCGGTTATGTCTGCAGAGAGCTAAAAGCAGGATATTGGCCAGGCTGACTCCAGAAGCCCAACCCCTCTAAAGCTAAGTAACACAATGTCAGGTTAAATATTCAGAATGAGAAACATCACCTGTAAATATGGGCTAGTATTATACAAGAAGAACTGTGTGTGGATTTGTATATGACTGGTAGGTTTCTGGAGGAAAATGATATGCACAGGTCTCAGACCTTGATATTTGATCTATCTCTGTGAGTTGAGAAATATCTGAAATGATTGTGGCTGGTCTTAGGCTTTTTGCTTTTCATCACTTGAATTGGAAGCAGCCGGCCTGTAGCAGCCACCTCCAGCTCTCTGAGGGTGGAAGGCTTCCTTCACACGTTCTGTTGACATCAGCTGCAGATTCCTGCTATGCTACTTGGAAGTGATGGTAGAGATTTATCAAAAACCTTTTCTTCTCTATAGCATAGTATTTTCCCAAGGCTAATTGTTTTTGAAGATTTGCTGAGTGCAAAAACATGAATAACTGCATATGAAGCAGTGAGTTTTGGCCTACTTATATTTTGATGCTAGATTGTCCTAGAGCTAAATTGTTACCGAAAAGGGGGGAAATGTGGCTTCATTGTGTATTTCCTATAAGAAACTTGGCATATAGACAAGATATACATACATAAACACACTAGCAGCCTCGTGCCTACAAAACTTTGTTTAAAGCTAATAAACTGCTCCGGAAACATGACCTCCAGCAGAGTTAATGATACTGAGTGCAGGTTTGCAGTGTCGCAGCAGAAAAATGCACAAATGTTAAATGATGCTGCAAGATCAGAAAAATGTGCTCAGACTCTGGAACCTCATATAATTTAAAAATCAGTGTATTATTAATCACTTTTGTATTTTTGCTCTCTGTGCTGTAACTGTAACAGATAAATATTAAGCGAGATGAATAAAGATAGATATCAGTTTTACTGATTATAATAGTCCTAATACTGGAACCTATTTAGCTTTGAACTGTGTGCAGTCAGGATTTGTTGGAGACTCACTGATGTCTCAAACTGAAAGTTTGGAATGTGCTTTTCCCCCCACAATCATTTGGCTGCTCATAATTAATAGCTGAATGCTGGGCACTGTTACTACATTTGCTATCTTGTGCTTTTGAGGAAAATGATCAGATTTCTCAGAGTGATAAACATGGATTCTGGAAAGATGAGCCTGAATATTTGATCTAAATATACCGCTGTTGTTGTATTAGTTTGAATTGTTTAACCAAATAACTTTCAAGATCAGCGCAGTAGCGCTTAGCTGCCCCTTATCCAGCGTTCTAGATCTCCTACAGCGCTTGAATGTAGCACGACAACACACTCAAATAAACCTGTCTGATGAGAAAGAGTTCATTTAGATCTCTGCAAATATCTTTGCTGTTCTACATTCCATCAGGTTTTTGACAGTTTGCAGATAAAAGCCAGTAAATCCTCACGGTGAATGCAGATAGAACAGATTTCTGTGTAGCGGGCTGGGGAGTCTCACTGACAGACTTTGCTGACTTTGAATCCTGGACAGCAAAACACACCACATCAACTAGTAAAAACATGAATTGAGCTCAACTGTATATCTACAAAACCCACCAGCAAATGTTGAACCTGAGCTGAACCTTTTTGAAAAGGTGACTCATGCTGCACATTCAGAAATGTTTTCATTCCACTTTCATGGTCGGACTGGAGAGATTCAGTAGCCGTCAGACTGCACCGATCACACTGTTACTTCCACTGTTTGATGAATTGAGAGACAGATTAAAAAGGATACACAGACAAAGTGCTGAGACAGATTGTGTTTAACGTGATGTAGAATGACAACAAAAGTTGCAAATGTTTTGCTTGTGGTTTTAATCGTCATGATATCATGTAATTATGTTATATTTAAACACAAACTACTTTCAAAAGATAAGAATATCCATTTGTATTCATCTGTTTGATAAATGTTCACTTAAATGTTGTGTATTATTATGTTGCCTTTAACCATGTTTAAGTGTTTGCTGACACAAGAAGAAGAAAAATGTTAAGAAAACTGAGTGTGTACATTTATTTGAGATTATGTTGTCTAAAGGTTTTTTTCTTAAGGTCTCCAACATAAGATAAGCTGATCACGCAACAAAAATAGCCTGAAAGGTCTTAAAGCCAATTTAAAAAGCTCAAATCTGCTGAATTTGTGTTAGACAATGTTCTTTATTTTGCATCAACTTGAATTAATTTCACTTGATCAAATTATTTAAAATTACACATCTGAAAATGGCGTTAATTTGCATTTCGCTGGATTGCTTCAGGTAGAGTTTGGGTGTGTTGTAAATCAAATATCTCTGTGTTGTCTCACAACCAGATATTAACCAGGGCTGTAAGTCCATGCTCAGCTTCTGCATTACGGCCCCCTCTCTCCTTTAGGGCCCGAGGCCCATAAGTTGGTTCAATAGTCTTTCTATATCCATGTAATCGATATGACATTATAGGAAAGTATAAAATCATTTTTAATTCTTATATAATAGTAGCAAACCATTGGTTGAGTACATTCCAAGAGGAAATCATATTATACCACAGTTCATGGATTTGGGTTGATGTTAATGAAAGAGCATGCATGTATTCAACATCTCAGTAAAACTCAGAGACCATTTCTATGTCAGAATAATCATAAAGTGATTGAAAACTGTTTATCAAGCTAAAAAATAAGCTGTTGCATTACATAGATGACAACCATTGCCTATCTTGCAATGGACCCTCTTATTAAAAATGGCTAAAGGCAAGTATCTTCTGTTGTGGTAAATTCATGCTGGACAAAACTTTATTGATTAGGCATACAAGCTGAAGTTGGATGCCCAGAGAGCTGGTTAAGTTTGATCCTAATTCACACGTGTGGATTCAAGCCAGACCAAAACAGACAGAGGCTCTAGATGACCTCTAAATCCATCCATCCATCCATTATCGTTACCGCTTATTCCCTGATGGGGTCTGGGGGGCTGGAGCCTATCCCAGTGGTCAACGGGCGAGAGGACAGTGACCTCTAAATCCTACTGTGGTCAAACCAAAACACTGACAAAGCACACATGGCAGACTGGAGTAAACACAAATTAAAATGGGTTGGACATTGTTTTCAACATGCAATGTATTCTGAAGTTCAAGTTAAAAAAAAAGAAACCTTGCAAGTTGATTTAAAAGTAAAGTTACTCGCAGCAATTCCTGGTTTAAGTGATCAAACCCTTTGCTGTATCACTTTGAAACATCACATGGAAAACTAGACAGTGGAATTTCCCTAATTGTGTCCTTTTGGCATTAAGGGAAAAAGAATCCACGTAGAATTTAAACCAGTGCAGATGCCACTGCCAGTGTGTTTCACCAGCATTATTAAGCTGTAGTTATATGGTCAGAGACTAGAATAGTTGTAATTTTGTAATCTTTTGAAATGATTGTCTATTAATGTAACTATCTCAGCCTCAGTTGTATCCAACTGTTCACCATCTATAGTACGGTCACATGTAAACACACTGCCGGGTCTGATAGATCCAGGTTTTAAGATTAAGTCAGCCTGAATACTCAAAAAGTACTAAGGGTTTAAGTTACTGATCCTAACTAAAAACATGATCTATTGATATACTTAATATCAACATAAACATTATTATGAATGTACCTGAGTGTAAGTCTCTAACCTTCACACACGTTGGCCAACAAAGCCCATCCTTTCCAAGTTAGCCTCTTTAAAGCCAAGAATCTATATTTAGATGATGCTCCATATGAAGGAACTTTAATTTATGCCTTCTTTAACAAAGTTTTCACAGTTTTTGACTCTTTGTTGTTTTTATTCTTTCAAATATTAAATTTAGGATATATCAAGATAACTTTTCACTGACAATTTTCCCCAAAATCTCTACAAAAGCAGTCATACAAAAAATTCTGACGTTATTTCATAAAAGTTTTGATAGATCTTAAGGCTCTCAATAAATATCTAAAACGATTTGCACGCTTTAAATAAACTAGTCAGTTTAACAGCCGACATAAAACTAATAATACTGTAGAGTCAGAGCAACATGATCCAGCGTGTTAGAAACCTACGACCTGTGGCCCTCTCTGTTAGAAACATGCTCCACTGAACCATTGCTGTACCTAGTAGCTTATTATTTTTCTTATTGGTGGGACCAGAAAGCGTCCAGCTTCTGTTTTGTGCTGTAAATCAGCAAAGAGGATCTTCAGTGCATACAAGGTGAAGCTACAAAGGTTAATATATATTACTCTGGAGCAACCATTCCACGTGCCTCAGTTCATACAGATACATTTAAAAAAAGATAATGCCAGCATTTGTCACTTCATATTAAATAGCATCTTTAAAGCTTCAGCAGCTTTTACAAAGAAAAAGGATGGACAGTGACCTTTGTTCACTCCCTCTTGTCTGAATGTCCAGGCAGTTGTCCTGAGCTGTTTTTTTCTTTGAGCTTGTGCTTCTCGGCCCAGCTTTTGTATCTGGCTCTGCTTTTCTTATAGCCGAACCTGGCTATGTCCACCATGAAGACCCAGGCTAGGACGTACATGACCAGGCCGCCCAGCTTCATGACCAGGGAGGTTCTGGGGGAGGTGAGCTCGCAGTAGAACATGACGGTGCCCACCCCCACGCGCACGGTGGCGAACAGCAGGATGAAGAGCAGGTCCACGGCGTCGCCCAGCGGCCCGTGGTAGCGGCCCAGCCGCCGCAGGAACCAGCGGCTCTGCAGCAGCGGGTTGGTCAGCTCGCTGCCGAAGATGACCCCGCAGGTCTCGCAGCCCGACACCCCGGTCAGCAGCGCCAGCAGGATGCCCGCCACGCTGGCCGCGTGGTGCGCCAGCATCACGGCGCCCTCCGTGCCGTAGCACACACACCAGCCCAGGTCGAAGAGGAAGTAGCCCAGGCACACGGCCAGGGCCTGCGTCTGCAGCGCCGTGTTCTCCGTGCCTGGGGGGGGGGGGGGGGGTTCAGCCGTTCAGCAGATGTGCACCATAACTGGCCTCGAATGAAAAATATGATCTATTCTCTACTAAACTGGGGACCTAAAAGGCTGCTGGGGCTGAAGTGAGGTGGTCCTCCAGGCTGGAATTATGATTCAATGGTATACAAACTAAGACAAATAGCCCCCCCTCACAAAAAAAATCCCCTTTCTAAAGTGTAGTTCTGTTCACCATTTTGAGGAACACACAGTTTGTTTGTTTTAAATTAAGTTACAGGGTTTCTTGGGGGGTTATATTTGATTTAAAACCATGCAATAACCATATTTACACAATGTTGGACTATTATAGGTACAATGTACAGAAAACAAAATTATTGTATCTGTGCCAATTCAACATTCAGTGAGCTTTCTGTCCTGGATAAATTTGGATAGTCAAACAAATTCAACTGAAGCATAAATACATATAACTATATCTATCACATGATTTTTTCATTCTTCTTAATATGATGTTATTCTTGGAGCAAATAGACTGAATGATGAAAGAATGATTTCGGATCACTACCCTGAAGCGAAGCTATGGCCGTACTGTTCTGGAGCATGAAAGGTCACAGCGAGTGTATTTAACGTGTGTAAGATTACACACATTAGATTTACTGTAGATTCACTGGAACTTGTGTTGCGGTGTGTTCCATGTGGCCCTGTTTCATTTTGAGCCCCCCCCCTAAAGGCCCTGGCTCGGCCCTGTGTCTGGACCGGCCCTCTGGTGGGAGAGCAGGTCCAGCTATCTGCTGCTCTGGACTACTGACCTGCATGTGTGAAGGGCCAGGGTCCGTCCACGAAGACCACGTAAGCGGTCAGCAGGACGATGAGGACGCCGTGGGACAGCGTGACCAGGCGGCAGTTCCACTCCGGCCCCCGCTGAGAGAAGGTCCAGCAAAACAACAGGTAGAGGCCCAGCCAGCCAATCAGGCTGCAGACCACCTCCAGCACCGGCATGGCTGCCTGGGCGGGGAAGAGGCCGAAACATGAGAGCGTACCTACCTCATGTCAACACTTCAGTTAACTCCTCTCTTAAATGTTATATGTGTGCTTATTTCTTTTTAAAAACTAAGAAAAAGACTGGCATGCCCTCATTGATGAGATCAAGTGGCCTGATCAGACTCCGCCCACCACAGTGTGTCAATTCAGAATGTTTTATCTGTAATGTATATGATGTTTTGTTAGTTGATAACTTCTGCATGCAAAAAATGTCAGACGGGTCTTTCACACAGCCTTAGAATTGAAGTATATCACAATGTCCAGTTATAATGGATTGTTCTGTCTTAATACTGAGGTACAGGATCATTTCCTGTATGTGTTTACAACCAACACCTTTGTTAAGAGCACTGTTTCCAACTGTTGAAAATAAACACGTGAGGAATGACAATATGTGAGAATATGAAGATCTTACATCAAAATGATTTCTACATGCTCACTAAAAGGGAGCTAGTAACCCATTGTCAACCCAAACATTATTGATGATTCCTTTTAAAATGTGCACCACCTCAAACTCTCCTTCTTTGACCTACCTTAAGAGCTGCTCTTCTCAGAGGTGGTCACATTCCTCTTCCACCTTCAGGCAGTCTCAGCCTGCATCACAGTCTGTGTTCCATAAAGGCATGAAGGTTCCACCACACCGCACACAGCTCAGCACATTTCCTCCAGACACACACTTACTTTGCAAAGTTGACGGCACGCCACATGCAGGACTCCATAGACACAGTGGATCCTGAATTCCTCCCCCCCGGATCTCACACTTGATCCTCTTAAAGGATTATGGTCTCTACTTCTCTGCAGATACCTGGTTTTAGACAGGACGTGTAATACGAGGCTGCTTAAGCCCATTTAACTGAAAAACCTTCTCGCTGATGAAACCCTGCTCAGTGATCATTCTTCTTCAGGATAGTTTTACCCCTGACTGAGCCATGTCTGCTTTGACTAAAAATGCCACAAATCTCAGACAGAAATATTTTGACCTGCTTGTGGTGATGTGTACTGTGATTAAACTAAATCACTTAGAGTTATGATGACCCACGGCTTTAGCATCAAAGCACATCTGAATATTCAAAGTGCAAATCCAGGTTTTTACCATATGTTTTTCACATTTTCAATATATTTTAGATCAAAATAAATGTACAATGGACCTGTCCATGGTGGAGCTGGCTTGTCCTGGGACAGTCAGGATGGGATCTATCTTTTTTACATTATTTAGATGACATTCCCTGATCAGCACCTTATACAGTACATGGCATTTCTTTGACAATATGACTGAAAAATATTCACAATAATGAGGCATGATTCTCTAGAATTATCTTTTTTTCTCAAATAATTTTTTCAAAAATTAACAATGAAACGTGGTGAAGGCTTAGGTAAAATCCAATAGTCACATGAGTTATGCATAAGAGGGTGCAGACAACAGCAGAGTGTGCAGCATCCTGCAGGTGAATCAGGAAAGAGGCATCCACAGTGGTCAGCAGGTGTTCTGTCCAGCTGGGCTTCAGCAGACTGCTGAACTGAGAGGGGCCGGTCAGGCGCTCACCGGACTGTCCAGCAGCATTAGCCCATTAGCAGATCAGCCTCCACAACCGCTCTCATAGCAAAGGGTGGAGGAGCTGCCCTGGTCCACTAACGAAAACGTTGTATTGTCACAATTTGGCACAATTAATAACAGTACTACGTTTTATTTTTCACATTCATTAACGACACGATTTCCTCAGCGAAAAAGAATGAAAAGGCCGACTCTCGACCTATATTTTGTGGAAAACGCATCTTTTAAGCGTGTGCATTTTGTTAACATTTCTGGCGAGTAAAAAGCAATATGTTTTCCTAATTTCCATTCATCGCATGTAGACGATCTTTCACTTTGTAGACTTCACATATTTTACCCTGGCCTTAATAAAACGTGACAATAAAACTATATTTTGAAGGTGGTTGCTATGGACTGCTCGGTTGCTATATTACGTCATCTATCTGCGTCGATATTCAACGTCCTCTCTGTTTAAAATAAAACGTTTTAACATAGTGTTTAGGTTTGTGTATATTTTGATTATATTTCTAACAAGACATATGCAACATATAGTCATAATTTTCATTTAGGGGATTTAGACAATCTTTCGTTTGATAGTTTCGCCAACAATTTTACCTTCATCAAATCAAAATATGAGACTAAAACGTTTCCTAGCATTGAAAAGTGGTTGCCATGGACGCTCTTATAGCTACGTCATCTGCCTACGCCAATACTCCCAGTAGTTTTTGTTTAAAATTCAATATTTCAAGAAAGCATCTCCATTTGTATGGAGTGTGATGCCCCCTCATCATAGCTTCTTTCTTTCTCTCCCCCCCCCCCCACTCATAGTTTTTAGCATGGGCAACACTGCGTATGGCCAGTGTGGACGGCGGATAGTTGAGAATGAAGTCTACAGGTGTGTACTGCTGAGTCAGCAATGTGGACAGAATTTGGGTGTATTTTCAGTCTCAGCTGCCACAGGCGCAAGTTTACGTTTATTAATTATTGTCACGTCTACTGTTATAGTATGTCCATTGTTTATATTCAAATTCCGTGTTAACAAAAATAACTTCAGAGGTTTGGAAACTCTGTGGCAACATGTCAGTGAAAACACGAGCCAGTGAATGGAAATAGTTAAACAAACTAAAAGTTCACAGGTTAACAAAATCCCTGCAGAGAGCATTAAGGAATGGATTAAGCAGGTTATAAACAAGAGATGGCATCGTGATTACAAGCAAAAAATGTAAAGCACCCCCCTTTATACTTCAGTTCTTTCAGACCAATTTATTTATCATATTTTGAAGTTGAACAATGAAACATTATTTTCCTCCCTGTTAGAATGTGTATTACCATGACTATCAACATGACTCCATTTGTGTGCATTTTGATAACATTTCTAGAGAGAACTAGGCAATATTTTTTACTAATTTTCATTCGGGGAATGTAGACGATGTTTCACTTTGTGACAATAAAACGTTTCTACCGTGAGGAAGGTGGTTGCTATGGACGCTGCTAGATTACGTCATCTATCTGCGCCGATATTCAACGTTCTTTCTGTTTAAAATTAAACATTTTAGGACAGCCTCCTCATCTAAAGTTCTAACAAGACCCAGGCAATATATGTTCATAATTTTTATTTAGGAGATTTATAGGATCTTTTGTTTAACAGTTTTGCCGAAATTTTAGCCTAACCTTAATAAAATATCATACTAAAAAGTTTTCTTGGTTGCTATGGACGCTCATTTAACTACGTCATTTACCTACATCCCCAGTAGTTTTTGTTTAAAATTCAACATTTTATGAAAGCATCTGTATGCATAGGAATTGTGGTTAGCGTGAAAGAACCATGTATTCTTTGTAGTTACATATGATGCTATAGCACTTCTAATAAGAATACATTTTTGATCATATATATTGATATCTGTAAAAATTGTAATGAGAAAAAAACAGCAACATTTATTATATAATAAATTGTATCATATTATAAATAATATTGTATTATATTATTTAGATGGTTTGACTGCAGGGGTGGTGGTGGAGGAACTTATCAGCGGGAGAGGCCCATTTTGTGTTGATGTATATATATACATTTATAGACTTAAAGAAAGTTCTACAATCCAACCTCTGGCGTTTGTATATAGTAGGAATAATCTGAGCTCTCCACTTTGGAGCACCAGGTGGCGCCACTTGACGCTCTCACGTCACTCAGCGCGTCACTGTTCACAGCGAGCAAGAAAACCGGAAATCTGTCTGTTTTCCTTCCTGGTTCATAGAAGGTAAAGGCATGCTTATAGATGACATTGGTATATTAAAACAACTTCTGCTGAGTCTCGCAACTTTAGTAATTTAAACTGGAAATAAAACACAGAATTCTGTCAGAAAGTGAAGGTAAGTTGAGCGGGGCTTTTTAACTGCGTGTGGAAACGCGCTACGAAGACGTTAGACGAATCTCCATTCACAACGATGGGAATTTGTTTTTAAGAATGATTTTTTTTAGATTATCTAACGTGTGATAACACATTGAGACACATTATAATGATGGATAGAAGTCGCAATATTATTCGGCATTGAGTGATTAGATTAAACATCAACTTGTAAAGGGCAGCTATGACTGATCGAACGTGGCTTTTTGATTAATAATATTTTTAATGACATTAATGCCAATGAAATTTAAGGATATATTTCCGTCTTATATTTATTTGTTGTGTTTAGCAAAGTGATTCAGTTTGCTATTGTCAGGAGCTGCTGCAAAAGATTCAATGCAATTCCACACAAACTGAATATGATAATAACTCATTTCTGTCATAGACATCCAGTATACTCAAGTGAAGACATAACCATCCTCATGAATGAATCCCCTCAGATTAGATTTCTCTGTCCCATCTCTGTTTTCAGGATGGCTTTTGCCTGTGTGCGACCTTGCTCTCAGCAGGTGAGCTCAGGCCTTCGGGCGAGTGCTTATGCCACCCTCAGCAAAGCGTCCAGACCCCAGGAGAAGAGCAGCAATGGTCCAGTGTTCCAGTATGTCGGCCAGCACAGAAAGCCCACCCACAAAGTGTTTGTGTGGGGCTTTAGCTTCACCGGGGCGCTGGGGATCCCAAGCTTTGTGGTGCCAGACAGCGGGAGGAAAAAGCCCCGCAAATACCAGAACACTCCTTACCGGCTGGAGACGGCAGAGCAGGTAAACCCCTCTGTTTCCACACACTCCTCAGATAAACCAAAAGGTCAAATCATTGATTAATAATTTACTCACTCCTGAGTTATTGGTCTGCAATGGAATCTTTTTTCAAGTCCATATGTGTCTAATCTGGTCACTTTGTCAGCTAAGTATTCCAAAGTTAAAATAGATAACACACAGAGGGAACACAAAAGTTATTCCAGATGATGTGGCAGAGAATCCAGATGCCACATTGTGGCACTCTGTTGTGTACCAACCCATGACATTTTACACTTTATTCAGGAACACTGATTAATTATAGTGCAGCAGGGTGAGTATTTGAAACCCATTTTCCCTGTTAATAGGTTTACTGTCTGAAAGGGCTCCAGTAATCAGCTACAGATGAGCAAACCTCATGTGCAGGACTTATTATTTCTTTATTGATTAATTAATTTATACTTATCATTTGTTTATTATTAATCAGCCTTAACTATACAGGGTAATTAAAAATATGTGACTAGCACAATGGCTGGAACAGGAGACTGAGTTTGCCATCTCCCTGGTCCCCCATCTGTTTCAGATGAGATTTTTTTAATCGATTGAATTTTTTAGGATTGCTCACTACGTGCTTTTCTTTGGCAGATCTCCTCTGCGGCCTGTGGTTACGGCTTCACTCTTATTGCATCCTCTACCAAAGACTTGTGTAAACTCTGGGGCATGGGGCTGAACAAGGACTCTCAGCTGGGCTTCCAGCGAACACAACACGACCGCCGTAAGACACAGATCAGTATTACTGATGTCCTGGGAGCTGCTGAGGGATTTCCATGCTCAGCTGGCCACATCTCTATAACGTTTTTGTTTGATTTTATTTCTTACAAATGTGTGCTTAGACTGAGGTGGATATTATTGCAACTTGCCTGGTTGCTGTACAATGGCGATGAAACTGGTAGAGTTTCATAGTCAGTGGTTCATGTAACTTTGTATCAGAAGCTTTAACAAAAGAAGCAACCAACCAGCAAAACGAGCACAGAAGAAAGATGGTTTGTCCAAGCAAGCACAGGCAAAAGAGGCCTCATATCAGAGTTGAATTGTCTGATTTAAAGCTGTTCACCAGACCAAAAGCCCTAACTATGAGCCCCTGAGAAATCCCTAGTGAGGCCCAGTTTAACTTCCAGAAGCAACAGCATGCATGTTTACACCCACTTTTGATCCACTAGAACTGAAGTGGCTTATAGGATGTTGTGGTTGTCAGTAAGCGTTAAAGTATCCCTATCCATCAGCACATAGTTTTTAGCTTGTCCTCCTCACTTAAGTGAAGTCTTCTCTGTCTGGGCGAGCAGACCAAACAGATGAGATGATAATAATCTGTGTGCAGCTCTGTGAAGCCTATTGTTCGGAGAGATTTCTTTTTTATAGCCCACCCTCAGCAATATTCATGGCCTTTAATAATAACTCCTGTCTGTGTGATGCGCTATGAATCTAAGCTTAAAAATGATCATCAGCTTTCTGAAATGACGAGAGGAGATTTATGAGAAAAATACAAACAAATCTCCACAGACTTCACAGAATCATAAAATAAGCAAAAGTAAGCTAAACAAACCGAATGCATCTCATTCCATCAGTATGGGTCGGTTTGTGCTTAGCTCTTTCTTCCATTCTTTCTGCTTCTTCTGCTGTCCTTTCTGTGCAGATAGTAGCTATGATTACGTTTTGGAGCCGTCCCCCGTGGCTCTGCCCCTCACAGAGCCTCTACAGACGAAGGTGGTTCAGGTGGCCTGTGGCCGGGCTCACTCCCTGGTCCTCACTGACCAGGAGGGAGGTAAGAGATGACCACCACAGCCATACACGGCACAGCATGCTGTCCCCATGATGCGGAGAGAAGCTCAAACTAAACACCAGCTAATGTGTTGTTTGCAGCCACCTGTCACATCCAGTGTCCTCTTACATCATCCACCCACCACTTATGGGAAAAAGTCAGTGTCAGGCAGCTGGCTCATCTCGTCCAAAAAGCCCATTAAAGTCTTATGGCACATTCAGGAAATTGGTGTACTGTTTCTCATCTCTAATCTTAATTAGTTGTGGCTTTTGCCACCTTTGCTGCCAAGCACAACGTTTGATTGCCAAACCGAAAGCAGGTTCATAATGATGTGTTTAAAGTCTCCACTGTTCTACATTTAATTAGATTTCTCCATTTAGGGGAGGATTGAAGAGTCACTACCAACCCACACAGTGTTCGCATGAACCTTATTTTTTAATTGACTTTGAATCACCTTTCTTTATGTAAACGTGACGCACTTTTGTGTCTGATGTAAAAAGACACTTGTTGTTCTCTCAAAGCTGCAGTTTATCATCAAAGCATTCCAGTTTTTGTGTTCCAGAGGAATACAACTCATAAATGAGGGATTTGTTTTTGTATTTTTATGATTTAAGGGTCCCTTTTGGGCTGCATGTTTTACAGCCAGGGATTAGATAAAAATGATCTTATCAATGAAATGGTTTCTTTAATCCTGTTTTATTGCTGCTCAGTGCTCAAACAATGCACCTTTGTTCCACAATCTGAGCTGGATGTCGAGAAACACAGTTAGAGTTCATACTGAAAAATGAAATGGTCAAATGTGATGCCCCCTCATCCTAGCTTCTTTCTTTCTCTCCTTTTCTCCCCCCACTCATAGTTTTTAGCATGGGCAACAACGCGTATGGCCAGTGTGGACGGCGGATAGTTGAGAATGAAGTCTACAGGTGTGTACTGCTGAGTCAGCAATGTGGACAGAATTTGGGTGTATTTTCAGTCTCAGCTGCCACAGGCGCAAGTTTAAGTTTATGGATTATTGTAGAGTTAAACAAAGTGAATGGAAATAGAGTTAACAAAATCCCCGAAGAGAGCATTAAGGAATGGATTAAGCAGGATATGAACAAGAGATGGCATCGTGATTACAAGCAAAAATGTAAAGCACCCCCCTTTATACTTCAGTTCCATCCAGAATAATTTACGATCATATTTTGAAGTTGAACAATGAAAGATTAGTTTTCCTCCCTGATGCACTGACACCTTTGTTTTTCTGTTGGAAAACCCACCCACCGATTCAAGATTTATGAAAAAATGGGTGTGTAGACCCAGTTTCCATTTTCTTCTTTTAGGTGGTTTAGTTTAGGATTGAACCAAATACTTTGGTTCCAAACTTAAGAGGTTTATGTTTTTGAACATTCCCTCCTCCTGAGGTGCTGAAAAAATCTGAAAAACATTTTTTTGACTTTTTAAACATTTGTTTCAAAAGAACAAAAGAAAAACTTGAAATGTCCAGTAAAAGTATCACTCAGCTGAAAGGCCTTTGATTTCCACAGTATTATGCACAGCTGAGGAGTAATGTGCAGTGTCAGCAGGAGGTCAAAGGGAGGTGAGGGAGAGCGGGGACCTCTGAGAGAGGCTGCTGTCTCCCTCTGACCGATGGCTTGTTTGTCTCCCTCATGTTCCATCAGTGGCAGCCACATCATTCATAAGGTGGAGGGCTTCAGCAGCAGGGTCGTCCAGGTGAGTGCTGACCGCCCGAGCAGCCCTGACACAGCTCTGCTTCTGTGCATTAGCTCCCCGCCGCGCCCCCACTCACCCGCACTGAAGACTGAAGGAGAAAAGCATTTGTAAAGGCTCAGTCTTTTTACTCAGCATTTATTCAGTCCAATGTTTTCCTCTCAAAAGCAGGTTTTCTAACCCGTTCATTTCACATGTCAATGTGTATGCCTGATTTTGAAATAAGCTCTTTGCTCCTGGTTTTTCTTCCAGGTGGCGTGTGGCCAGGACCACAGCCTGTTCCTGACCGAGGCGGGGGCGGTGTTTGCCTGTGGGTGGGGCGCAGACGGGCAGACAGGTTTGTGTTTGACCGGCAGGACTGGAGCAAAACACCTGTTTGTACCACAGTAACAGCTTTAGGCTTAATTAGACAAATATTGGTGATATATTTATGGTTGTGCCACCTAATCTCGTTATTTATTTGCGTGGTCATTTATTTGATGGAATCGTGTGATGTCATTAACTGTAAACTGCAAATTGAGCATTTCTTGAAACTACATCACCAGAATAACCTTCACTATCTTATCTTCTATGCTAGCTGCTTATATGTGTTGGTTTCCAATCTCTAGTGTGTCTTTTTTGTTTCCCCTCTTTTGTAAGGCTTTATTCTCTCATGTCATTTTCTGGGAGCCAGCCCCCCAAAACAGCCCAGCAGCAGAGGATTTACAGACCACAGATTTACATTTTGCACATATTCCAAAGATTTAGTCAGTCAAATTCCAATGAAACGGACTGAAATATACAAATAATACAGTAACGTCCTGTCGGTCAGTCCACTACGGGCTTAGTGGGGAAGAAATTAGTCCTGGGAGGGCTGAGAATAGTTTGCTGGTCATCTCTGATGGATGCAGGCCTGCAGATAAAATGAGAGCTAATGAGAAGTTCTCTGGAGGTAAAATGATAATCTATGAGAGGACAGAGCAGAGCAGCCTGCCGTTCACTGTTCCTTCTTCCTATGGTGGGATCTCCTCCTCCAGGTCTGGGGCACCACAACATCAGCTCCAGCCCTGTGGAGGTGGGAGGCGACCTGTGTGGAGTGGAGGTGCAGCAGATCAGCACGTACGGGGACTGCAGCCTGGCTGTGTCCAGAGACGGCCGGCTGTTCGGCTGGGGGAACTCTGAGTACCGGCAGATGGCCTCAGTCACTGAGGCCTCACAGGTAGGGCCAACTGAGTGTGTTTCTGGGGTTGGAACTGAGGCTGTGAGTTCTTTTTTCTACTGTCAGGCATAATTACAGGCTGTAAGGGAGCCGTTCTGACAGCTCCTCCGTTCACAGCAGCCAGCAGGCTGGATGTGAGGGGAAAACGCAGCCCAGACACAGGCGGTGGACTGGAGTGGTTTTCTTATCCTCTAACCCTCATATGTCTTTTTTGTAAAATTGTCATGTATGTACTTTGCCAATTAGTCTCACAAAAAGCTCTTATCTGCACAAATTGGTAGGAAATTGCCTGTTACTCATTCGATGAGTTGTCTGTAAATGGATGAGCATTCATGAGATTTAATCAGCTTTATCAGTGCCCACAGTTTCCTCAGCAGGGAGACGTGTTCAGCTCTCTGTGCACGCAAACAGCACGCTCGTGAGTGAGTCATAACATGAGCCCCTGTTGTGGCCCGGCTGTCTGTGCAGGCTGCTGCCACTGAGTGAATTCCCATATATTTCTGGTCTGATTAAATCCTGACAATGCTTTTCCCAGTGTGGGAAAATCTGAGCTGCTCGGATTGTTCCAAATCAAATGCCATGCAACAAACATGAGGATTTGTTTTTTCTATTTTTGTGTAAGATACAGAGTAGATCAGCCAAACTAAGTCCTCTTAAGAAAGGGGGCTCCTCAGCAGAGTGTGCCTCTCCCCCCGTTTATACAGCAGCCTAAACAGACAGGAGCCATCGGCTGGATGTGTCCCTGCATTCTGGCTGTTTTGATTTGTGACTGAAACATGATTTATTCCTTTTTTTGCTTAGAGCTTCCTCTCCCTCACTTTCATGCTGGTCCCACCAGCCCAGCCTGTCTCAGCTGAGGTTGGATGCTGTGTCTTAATGAGCCCTAACAACAAAATCGCTTTTATTAGCTGTGATGGTGACCAAACTTAGTGATGGCTGAGGCAGTAAAGCAAAAAAAGAAAAACTAAACCTGGTTATAGTTGATAAATGAAGGTGATAAACAAATACAAATATAAGATTGTTTTGAAATACCCAAATTAAACATGAACACGGTGTCTTGGTGTCTGATAATCCAGCGGTGTGAAGCCCGTCCCTTTTCTCTCCCTCTCTTGCCATGCTTGCATCCCCAGCTGTAACATTGCACCTTGGCGCTGTGTTGTAGTGTGTGTGTGTGCATGTGTGTGCATGTGTGAACTGGCGACTCCCACACTTCCACTGCTTGGTGGCTGGACCTTATCACCCAGCCTTTACTCAAACACTTTTCGTATTAGGGTGTGTGGAATAAAGCTTTCTTTTGTTTGCCTACTCTGTTCAACCCCCTGCAACTAATGTATAAACCCCTGTCTGGACTGTTTGGATTTCTTTGCGGAGTGCTAGTATCATGTGTCATGATATGCCCTCAATCATTTAGAACCATCATATGAAGACATAGTTTAAGGTTAAAAGTTAGTTGGGGAAGCTGTAGAAGAAAGCTGGAGATTGAGCCATATCATTTTAGATGTCTTCTTTGTGATTTAGCTTAAAGGTAAATAACTGGATGTGTCGTCACATTGTAGGTCAAATAGATAAGATATCCTCCCTATGCATCATGAAATTCTTTATTAACTGTCTCTAAATGTGTTTATCCCTCAGATCAACTCTCCCCGTCACCTTCCTCTGGAGGGCTGTGGAAAGGTGGTCCAAGCATCCTGCGGAGGAACTCAAGTGGCCATTCTCAACGGTCCGTCACACTAACACGCCTTTTATATCAGCCAAGATACAGCTTATTTATAAAGCGTACGACCAGGGCCGTTTGAATTTCCAGGCCTTAAGTGTTCAAACTGTCTTCTCAGTTAGCTTAGAAATCGATCTGCGACAGTTGGGAGCGGTCACTTCACACGTGGTGGCATCAAGCATCTCCATGTTGTGGTGGTCTCTGACTCAATGTGACTCAACAAGCGTGCTCACTGAGTGCTTATGGCTGCTGTGCAGCGTCCAGATGTGTGTTACTTTAATACCAAGGAGGAAATACAACGACAAATGAGAAACCACTGTCCTGCCCATTAGTCTGAAAAGGGCTTTTTTGGCTTGCTTTTGCAGCCCCAGAACCAGGCCCTGTTCCCGTCCCCTGTCTGGGTAGTGCAGCACTCCGAAGTCCAATGTGAGGCTATCTGTGTGACAGCTAGCGTTTGGCCAAAAAACGGTCATGTACAGGAACGCAGCAGCTAAAGAACAGAAAGTCTGAAAGAGAAGAGAATGGAGGTGTTCCAGTGGCTCAGTCCAGCCTTTCTGAAGTGTAACAGGTCATAGCTGTCCATAGCTGAGACCTTATGTAAGAACTGTCAAATGCATTGACAGCACCTCTATGCTAAACAGCACTTAATACATTAGTGTGCAGTGTAGTGTAGTGTTTTCTGTAGTATCTATGCTCTGTTTGACACGTTCTCAGCACTTCTGCGGACACACAGACTCAGCTGACCAAAGATTCGTCTTGACATAACATTTATTGTGAAAACAAATGCTCTCTATATGAAATGGTGGGACACGAGTTGGGCCAACTGTGCCTCCCCCCATTGGCTTAAAGCAAACTGGAATTTAGAAACCACACATCTATTCAATGTGATTCCACTGTGAGTTCACACACATTCCCTAAGCACAGCAGTAGGACTATGAGGTGACATCACTCAGACCAGCTTATAAAGCTCCACTACATGTGTTGGCATGGAGCAGCACACAAAGAGGGGCAACAACATGACTCATCTAATTATGTATTTGTCTATTTTTGTCTAGGAATAAAGTTGAACTTACTTATTGTCCAGAAATGGCCATTTTAATCTGACATTTCCCTGAAAAATAGAATAGAGTATTTTCGTAAATGTGCTCTTTATAACTAAATCAGTTTATTAATAATGCAGACGAGATATAAAGAAGAGCAGCTTCATAGTCTGTAAGCAGTGAGTTTTTTTCTCTTTACGCCACAGGCATCAATTAGGTGAAATCTGAAATTCTAGTCCTTTTTCTGGTGTATAAAACAGAAGAATTGAGGTTTTCTTTCTTTCACCAAGCTGAGCCACAGATAAAGGTGTCACCACTGTTGTTCGGCCAGCATTCACTGCCTACAGCTGGGTGTTTATGGTTGGGGCAGCAGGAAGGAGAGAATGATGGTGTGAATACACATCTCTGATATAAATCTGATGGAGGAAAGCAGCATTAGATTTGGCAAAAGATGTTGGTGATGCTCTTGCTGCTCACCTCCTGGATCTGATTTTTTTCCAGAAAAAGGAGAAGTGTTTGTTTGGGGCTACGGCATTTTGGGAAAAGGACCCAACCTCTCAGAATCTTCAACCCCAGAGAAGATTCCCTCGACACTGTTCGGGCGCTCGGAGTTCAGCCCGTCTGTGTCTGTGGCCCAGATCAGGTGTGGCCTCAGCCACTTTGCTGCCATCACAGGTGAGGCCCTGCACACCCCCCCCTGTGTGCATTCTTCTGCATGGTTCTGTCATCAGCCACCAACTATGGAAGTGTTTGTTTTCAGTCAGTGCCTTCAAGCCTGGGCGGCTTCAAATGAGGTCTAAATGATTTGAATCTGTAGAAGGGAAAAAAGGCTATTTCTGGCTCTTAAAAATCTATGCTGATTTTTCACATTTTTTATTGAATTAGATTTTTTTATTAGGGACATTTGTTTATCATCCATCCATTGTCCCCTGCTTATCCGGGGTCCGGTGGACCGGGCAGCAGCCCCAGCAGGGAAACCCAGACTTCCCTCCCCCCCAGCCAAGGGACAGTCAAACCCCTCCACCTCGATAAGGTGGCAGGGAGGGGCTGCCAGAAACAGAGTTTGTTTAAACTGTTTAGTTCATTTCGAGTCCAACCTGTCCACAGCTGATTTCAGCCAAGTTGATAGATTTACTTTGTTGTTCTTTTCAAAGTTATTCTAAGGTTTAGAGGTTTGGTGCTTTGTTTTTTCCTTGAAAATGAGCCACTGCTTGTTGTTTCATTATGCTCCTCATTGTCTTTGGAAGCGTGTGCTATCCTTAGGAGGTTAGAAAGTCAGGATATTGAAGCGTTTCTGCTCTGGGCCCATAAAAACCACTCAGCAGAGTCCAGCCTCAGCAGTGCGCTCACAAATGGAATGAGCCTGATAGCTGGCCACATAGAGGCACCGTGCTGTTAATATCTCACCCAGAGTAAGCAAACACTTTCAGATCCACCATAAAACCCACCTCCTCCTAGAACTGTGGAACCTCAACAGATTAGTGGATGCAGCTGAAGGCCTGTGCTGACCTGCCCTGGACTGCTGGCCCCAATTATTCAGCCGAGGAGCGGTGTGATGTGTGCTGATCATTTAGCCTAATGTTCTGTCCACCTTTGACCTCGCTGAAGAATGCAAAAGAGCCAGGGCAGAAATGACCACTTAACCCCTCGTCCTTCTAAACCGGCATGTTGATGGGAGGTAGAGGATGGGAATGCCGTTTGTTCCACGTCTTCACTCTGGAGTTTGCCTTTACAGGGTTTGCTCTGTAATGTGTGGGCATTAACTCTTGGAGGACAGGTGGGTATTTGCTAACTCTTTTAGGCCGGGTGGGCTGAATCCTCCTGACACTGTGACCGCAGGTCCCGGCGGCCAGAGGACAGCAGCGGCTGATGTTTGATGCTCTCTTTCAGATGGAGGCGAGCTCTTTGTGTGGGGGAAGAATGTGCGGGGCTGTCTGGGAATAGGGAAGAAAGAGGACCAGTACTTCCCATGGCGAGTAAGACGACGCTGATTCAATATTATTCATGCAAACAAAGAGCAAAAAGCACTAAGCGAGCCCCTTTTCCTCCTGGCTTCGTCCTGAAACACTCTCGTTAACGCCCCCCTGCACGCTGAGTGTGCGCTGCCTGTTGCCGGCGTGTTTTCAGCGTCAGGGCTGAAAGAGCCACCTGATTAAACTGTGAATCAGGTGGATCTGTGAATCTCCCCACCGGGTATCCCCCGGAGAGATGATCAGTTCAGTCCTCAGACGCACATTTGCATTTAAAGAGGATTGGAGGGGGAGTCTCTGCCCTGCAGAGCTGGAAAAAAGCAATCGTCTGCTGGTTTTATCAGACCCCAGAAAATCCCTTTATTTCCTTTCCTCTTGAATCCAGAGCTGAGGCCGTGTGTGATGTGGGCCTCTGCTCTGTGTGCTGCTCCCAGGTGACGGTGCCGGGTCAGGTGCTGGACGTGGCGTGTGGGGTGGACCACATGGTGGCGCTAGTCAGGTCCCTCCTGTGAGCTCAGGCTTCTGTGGAGTGGAGGGAGGCTGGGTGTTTGCCCCAGCCCTCCCACTGACCTGGAACCCTCGGGGAGCTGATAGGAGCGGGTCTGGAGTCCCAGCCAGCTGCTCTCCACAGGCCTCCGGCTGGGGGGGGGGGGCAGAGAGCAGGGTCTGCTCCTCTGCATGAAGCTGGGGCTGGAAACGGATCTGAAACGACTCAACTTCATTACTTTCTCACCATTTTTCAAAGTGAATGGGGAGGAACTGTAACTTGTAATCTATTTGTTTCTCTCTATTAGCATCACCATAAAGTCTTTGGCTTTATTTTTATTTTTTTTACTGAACTACATCCTTGACTTGATGAGCAGTAAACTACAATTTGAATGAGTTTTTCATATTTGTTAGCAGGTGGCAGCAGCTGGCTGGCTGGCAGGGGGGGGGGGGGTCATCTGCTTTAAGCCCTGGATGCTGTAAAGTGTTTGTAAAACACTAACACTCCAAAAAAGAGGTGACAGCAAAAACAATACATGAGGATAATGTGTATGCTGTGTGCAGATGGAGGTGTGAGCTAGCAGAGAAAACAGGCTCTGATGAGTCAGTTTAACAGCACAAACCAGTGTGTGATCAGCAGTGTGTGTGTAGAATGGGGAGAGCAGCAGAAAGCTACGGAGGACAAGGCAGGACGTTGATCATTAAACCTGTCCAGAAGAGGGGGGGGGGGCTGAGGTGCCTGTTAAAGGAAACTCAGCAAAAGACGCTCTGTCCAAGGGAGGGAGCCCTTTTTTAAGTCATGTCATCAAATGCGGTTAACAGGAGTGTATTGGTTATTTTGAATTGTCACTATTTTATTTTGTGCATCTGTGTGTTTTCAACCTTCAGATTCTGAAAGCCTCTGAGCAGGTGACGCTAATCCTTTAGTTCCCTTTGTGGGAATAAGTCCTTGGTTTGGAGTCTGTTTTCCACCTAACGTATCCCAAATACTGTATTTCCAAAGTCATGATTTTATAACAAATACTCAGGTGGAATAGTTTTAAAAAAAGAAATCTGTCACTCTGTCAGTTTCAACTCTAACATGACTCATTTAGCTTAACAAGCACTGTGTTTTTCCTCTAAATTCCCCATAGGTCTCTGTGTTCATGTATATGGATGTAAAGAGTCACCCATGCCAGGGTAGCACCCGCTCAAATAAAGCTAGTTGTCCCAAATGACCATCTGGCATCTTTTGGCAGCCTTTCAGTCTATTTTCTTTAGATAGGGGGCCATAAAATGAAGTGTTAGCTTATTTTAACCTGTTTGCTAGCAGCTATTTGAAGATGACACACAGTTGTAATCTATCGTCAAGCCATTATGTGAGAATATGACTAAATTTGAATGGTCCAGTTTTGGTTATTTTATCTGTGCTCGTTCAGACTGATTTTGAATATCTGAAAATGAAGTGCTCGCCTGTTCTTTCCCTTTCACTACTTTTTATGGTGGACCATGTGTGGGTTTTAGGGTCAAATGGCCAGCAAGCAACTGAATATGGAGTCTAACAAACATCAGTACATATCACACATCTGTCTGGTCATTAATGATTGACTAAAGTCCAACAGGATGGGAAAGAGCAGTCCAGTGGTTCCGGCTTTTTACTGTCAGCTATTCTAGGACTTTGGTGGCTCTACAAGCCATGGTGAGTTTGGACTCAGAAATTGCTTAATATTGTAGCTGAGCTAATATAAGTCCTTTATTAGGAGGACAAAGGTGGGGTTGTTGTGTTAAACTGCTGTTAGTTAACTGACTGTAGCAGTCAAGTTGAATTTGATGCTTGATGCAGCAGTAAAGGAAAGCTGGACATTTATTAACCAGCAAAGCTGGAACGTGATGGCAGGGAATAACTTGCTTTGCACGTCAGTTAAACCATTTCCCCTCTCTCTCTGGCATGAATCTCACAATTCATGCCAGAGAGAGAATTGTGGCTTGAATTATTAAAAGTGGGAAGTTGGAACTCAGGACCTTCATAAAGGAGTTGATGCACCAGGCAGAATGATGGTGGAGGAGGGCGAGTGTTGGCCGTGCAGCTGGACCTCTGGGAGACCCCCGGGACCCCCGGGAGGACCCGCCGGACCCGGCTTTGCTCACTCAGCTCAGGTAACGCTTGATACACATATCTGCAGTTTTCCCCGCTGACATGTGCTTGTACATTCCCCACCCCCCCAAAAAATAACAGTTAAAGACTAAAATTATACAAAAGTATATCAGCAGGACTTAAGGCTACAATTACAGCTCACAGTATGGAAGAGGAGCATGCTGCATTTTAATTTAACTGATTTCAATGTGTCAAAGAATAAACCCAGGAAGCCATTGGAACACTTTTTTTTTTTACAAAGAAAACCTCTGTAATAACAGTGCAATCCAGACTTCTATCATCTTAGTCTGCTTTGACTAATTGCTCGTGATGATACCCACAGGATGTACAAAAATATGGTTGTTATCTAGCAAAAGAAGCTCAGATATCGGGCTCATGCAGTTGCATCTTCCTATATGGACTACAAGTAAATGGGGGAGGAATGGGCAGAGCTTTGTTTTCAGAGCAGCTGAAGCCTGATACAGTGATCTGGACAGGAATTAAAGAACCGAAGCAAAGAAAAACAACAGAAATCAATTGTTTAAGTGTGAAATACTCTTCGATGCAGCCTTCATCTGTCTGGGGTTAGTACAGAGAAACGAAAGCAATATTCATCTTTGTGTCTGGCTGCCACACATCAGTACCTGAAAAATGAATTCTGGCTGTTATGAAAGTCACAGGATGCAACTCCAGTTTTTATTCTATCATTTCTCTCAGGCTGAGCCCAAACCCCAGAGACCTGGTCATAACCCCCCAATGCCAAAATGTGAGTTGAAAAGCCACTTTTTAAAATCTATTTATCGTGATGTAAACACACAATCGAGAGGCTCTGAAGACCAGACCGGGCAGAGATGTCATCAGTTTATTGATTCAAGTACACATAGGAAGCCAAAACAGAGTGAAGACAACCCCATTGTTAAGTAAAGACAGTAAAACTGACAAATGGGTAAAAACAGTACAAGCAACAAGCTCCAAAAACAGCCTGTTTATTTCTTTTTCACACAAGAAGCTCCAAATGAAAAGCTTTTAACATATCCGTTTGAAATGGAATCAGAAGAAAAGTAACCTTCCTCATATTTTAACACTGATAGATAAATGATTTCCACTGATCATAGAAGAGGCTTCAGGTATGGGAACGTGTTGAAAAAGAAAGAACATCCTCACCACTGCTTAAGACCAACAGAAATCTTTCCATGTGGAAGTAAATAGCCCTCTCTGTGTTCACATCAGTACAGCAGGTCTGTGGGGGGGGGGGACCTGCATTAAAGTGCAGACTGGAGCACAAGGTCAGCTTACTTCAGGACCTGAACGCCACCAGGGGAAATGTAGCTTATGTAAAGCACCGCCATGACCACAGGCTCAGGAGGCTTCACCAGAGGATGGAGACTCAGAGCCCGGTCCGGCTGTGGGCTCTAACCGAGGGTCACACCGGGGGTCACACCCAGGGTCACTCTGAGCCAGTGAGCAGGAGCAGGTGTCGGAGCAAAGCTGCTGGCAGTGGATGGTGGAGGAAAACAAGAACACACTTCAGTCTGAGGAGAACCTTAGTTTGGTTGTCAGTGTGGACAGGGGCAGGCAAACGGCTTCCCGTGTTTTTAGAGTCTTAAGGCAAGCTTTACCCCCCAGCTCTGTGTGTAAAGCAGCATCTGTGGGCCCCCACACAGGAGATCAAAGATGCCAAAATGGATCTGAAGAAACACCGATCACCTCTTAGATTTACAATAGTATTTATCATCCGTACATCATCAGAATTTGCTAACTGCGATCAGGACAACGTCCCTCTTGCTGGCTCATTTCTGTTGTCCTTTTCATTGGTCTATCACTGATTCTGCTCATTTACTCTGAGCGTGTTCTACTGCTACAGAACCTTTCCTTCGTTGTCCCACAGATGGCCTGCAGACAGACTGGAAAACGCTCATTTGGATTTAGAACATGAAAACCGCTCCCAGGTGAAATGATTCAACTATTGCTGTTCTTTCTGCAACAATCGTTTTACTGCAACTCCCAAATAATGCTCTTTCTGAGGATTACATAATGCTAATCCTCAGACATCAAAGACTTCAGCCAACACCCCACATGAACAGAACTGCTGAGGACTCCAGTTCTCTTTTCCTCGTGCGTAACCCAGTTGGTCTTTTGAGATTTTTTCATCTAATTTGCTTTTGACCAACACAATGCAGCCCACATTGCCAGAGGCCAGTCCGCTCCCTCCGAGTCTTAGTGAAAACATCTTCAATTCACATTTCCCGAGAAGAAAAATGTCATTTAAAATCTAAATCGAGCCTTTGCTTAAAAAGCAGGACGCAACTCTAAACCATCTTTTTAAAAAGTGAAATCCTGCTTGTGTTGCGGTGAAAAACAAACTTTCTCCAGAGTGGAAGCTGCTTAAGGCGTCCCAAAAGCTTCCCAGCTTGTGGAGGAGAACGGATTTCAGGCGTTTCCCAAACAGCTCTCCGTCTACTGAGCTGTTCCCAGGAGGCCTGGCCTCCCAGCCGGGGGCTCCGGGCCCTGGGCCCCCACAGGACCGCTGTGTCCCACTGATCCCCGCAGAGCTCCTGATGGAGGTAAGCAGAGACTCCAGCTCTGGGGGGCTCTGACTGGATGGGGGCCATTCAGTGGGGGATCATTAAACTTATCGTATTCATCATTTGATAGTCACATGGCAAAGCATTAACGCTGAGAAGTTAGACCTGCCATTAGAAGGGAAGAAATTCCAAAGGCTTCAACTTTAAAAGCAATTTGAGAATCAAGCATCAACGCATTTAGAATCCCAAAAGATCAAATACTTCAATTTAAGGGAAAAAAAGAGAAATCCGTTATTAATGCTACTGCCTGCATGCCAAAGAACTGATAACAAAGCCTAACTGGAGTTGTGGTGGTGGTGGGTTCAGAGACCTGCAGCCGGACTGCTCACTGTGGGAATGCTCCCGGACACGTGCACTACCTGGGATTACTCCATGTTTCATCATCAGCCTTCAGTCTGAGGGACACCCACAGTCTGAGCTGCTTACAGAGATTTAACAGTTGCTAAAACCAAAGAACAAGAATCGATCAAACAGGCTGGCTCTCCTCAAAACCGTCTTTTCAATTGCACAAAAAGTAGTATTCTGACAAAGGCATCAGTTTTAGGCATTCAACCATCATGGCACTGAGAAAATGACTTGTGGGGGGGAGAAGCAAAGGAAAAAAAAAGGAAAACTATAAATATATAGAATACTTATTTCATCTCCAAGAGTACATTCATCATCCTTCCTTGAGAGGAATTATGTAACTAATACAGTACGGCGCTCCTGGGGGTCGGGGGGGGAGAAGCAGCTTTAAAGAGGGAAAGAAACGTGTAAACTAAAGCAAGAGCCGCCAGGGGGGGGCGGGGGGGGGCTGGAGAGAGAGAGTGATCCAGTAACAAAAGCCTCCCTAACAAACCCCCACGCAGTGAGCCTCCTCTCTGAGCCCACACGCTGGAGTCCGCTAACAAGGTCTTGGCACTTTTTGGACACAATAAATGTTTGAAGAAAGTGACGTTGAAAAAATGGTCGTTCTTGTGGTTTCCTCCAGCTTCCTTCACTTCGACGTGCTCTCAGTCCGCAGAGCTCCAATCACACTTTGGATATTTTCCTCGGGGACCTGGAGGGGAGACAGATTAGTCACAGGACAACTGAACAGAGGGAGAAACACCCTCACCAAACACCACGTTTAACCAAGAGTTCTGCCCCTGAAGCGTCCATTAAGAAAAAGGACTCTTACCAGGGCATGGTCGAACTTGAAGGTACTAATGTAGTAAGCCGGAATGTCAGCTGTAGCCAGGGGTTCGGATATTTGAGCCACAATACCACACTCATCTGCCAAGAAACGAGAACACAACACACACATTACAGCCCCGACACCTGCTGCTGAACCTGAAGGTGCGGCCTGTTCTGGACAGATATGATATGATATCCAAGCTAACATTTCTGTGTCATTCTGGGGCTGCACACGCTTATGGAATATGGAATATGGAAGTTTCCACCATTTCTGGCTTCCACTTTATGATAAAACAAGCTTTCTGTTCCTCTCCATGTCTACAGAGATGAGGACTGGGGCCTCATGTTACTCTTTCATATTTTGATGTATGCAAAACACTGACAGGCTGCTTTACCCTCCGGTCCAGCCGGTTTGGATGCAGCAGCCATCCCCCCCCCCCAAGAGCTGGGCAGTCAGCAGACAACAGGCTAGCAGCTGATGGTAGCGGGGCTAAGGGCGGAGCTAAGGGCGGGGCTAAGGGCGGGGCTAAGGGCAGGGCTAAGGGCGGGGCTAAGGGCGGGGCTAAGGGTGAGGCTAAGGGCGGGGCTAAGGCTACAGCAGTCTCAGTCCGGCGAGCCAGAGGGGAACAGCCGCTGAATTTGAACTGATTTAATAATCAAAATGAAAACAAATGAACATTTCAAATATATCATTCTGTGTGTAATGAATGAACATAACATAGTTTCACCTTTTGAATGGAATTACTGAAATAAATCCACGTTTGTTATGATATTCTGGTATGAGCAGCACCTGCCCTGGCCTTGAACTGGACAGTAGCTCTGTGAGATAACATCTGTTGTGATTTATTACTAAATCCATCAAAGCTATTTTGGGTTAGGAATTTTGTGGTGCCAATTATCGACTCTGTGTGAATGTGATTAAAAGTCTTCCACTCCCAGACTGAATTGCTAATTAATTATTTTTTTTTACGAATCACAGAGAGGAGCCTCTTGCAGAGAAGTGCTACAGCAAATGAGACCGGAGGGATGAGGTCACAGGACAAGAAACCGCAAAACCCTGAAGAGGACAGGAAGCAGGCCGCATGAGGAGCCTGCACAGACAGGTTCCCCCCCCATGCTTTCAGCATGTGCAGTGTGAGGCACCGAGTGCAGGTACTGGCTCTGAGCAAAGACAAACCCGGAACATAACCAGGGATTTCAGATTCATGCCACTTGGTCCTACACACTGATAGAGCTTTCCAAAACCCCTTCCAAAGGAACGAATAACAGAAAACTCACCAAATCCTAAAGGTTGCCCCCCAATTCGAACCATTTTCCAAAGCTCTCCAGAGGCACTGGTAAAGAGCACGTTGTTTGGAAACCTTGAAGGGAAAACAGTTCCGTATGTTACACAACGAGCAAATATCAAAATAATAAAAGTGGTTTGTGTTGGTTAGAGACCAGGACTACATAAAAAACACTTTTGCTCAGTGTTACTTAAAACAACAAATTCAATTTATACACAGTATAAATGATATATGTGTATATATGAACTAGGTATGAGTGGAGCTAAACTAGGTGCTGCTCACTGTGCTGCGTCCAACAGCAGAGCCTTTGTGAAGTAGAACTAAATGGGTGACCTATCCCTTTAAGGCAGCATATTAGTTATTTCATAAAACATGGGCTCAGTGTTGACCTACATGCTGCAGAAACATGAACTTAAAAAAAAAAAAGATCAGACTTTGCCCCAGTTTTTCTTAAGCTTCCACAAGGCTTTGAGACATTACTGACCCATAAAAAGCAGAGCCCATTTCTGAAAGCACGCCATCTGATTAGTGCTGACGCGGTGATAAACGGGGGGGGGGGGGGGCATGTGGGATCTACAGGTTTCAGAGAATGAGTGACTCGCTGAAGAACAAATGACTCAGAATGAAACACTGTGGCTTAAGTACACTGTGTCCACCCAAGAGCTCCACAGCTGCTTAGCAACAAGCTAATCACCCCCTCAAAGGACAATCACCAGTTTGCTCCTCCTTTCTGCCACAGCTGGGATATGAAGCTTTTATTGTGTCACAGGTGACCTCCCCCACTCACCTCTGAGCGGTCTGTTCATCCATGACCAGGGAGATGTAGCCCTCGATGAGGGAGAAGGAGAAGAAGCGGATGTGGTTGGAGTCCTCTGTGGATGCTCTAGGCTCTTTGGGTCTGGGAGAGGAGAAAAGCTTCAGATTTAACCAAAAGATGCTGATGTTTGGCCTCCTAAGGGGTCCAGGTGGGATCTAAATGATCCAAGGAAAGGATTCCATAAAGACAGACTGTTGTTTTCTTTTTTTACTTTGACTGATTTCAATTGATTGATTGATTGATTTCACGACTGCCTCATGTAAAAGAAAAAAGAATGCCGTTGGAATTTTCAGAAGTTGTAAAATGTCAATTCTAAATTCTAAACACTTTTTATTTTGGGATGTTGAGTTATCCATATTTACCTAAACTTTACAGTGTTTATGAATAATAAAATGTTTATTTCTATTCATTAAACATAAGTGACATTTTTTCCATTACAATGGTGATTTAAATTGTTACTTTTTTTCTTTTGATGGTCACAGACTTCTTGACCATTAACTAAAGGAAAATGTAGCTAACACCCCTAAAAAGGAGAATATAGAATTTTTATTATTTCTTTTTCTTATATTATCTCTTAATTTCAGCTTTCCAGAGTTCACTTTACCATAGTGAAGAAACTCATGCCTAAAAGGGGGGACTACCATAGATAAAAGAAATTAAAAAAAAACTGACAAAAGAATGCTTTCCTTAAGAAATGATTCAAAAACAAAACACACACGCAAAGCAGAGCTAATCGGAGGCTAACAGACTGAACATAAAGCTGTACCCTCCAGAGTAGAACATGACGTCCATGAGCAGCGTGGCGACGGAGGGCAGGGTGTCCGGGTCCAGGCTGGTCACACAGAACATGTTGCTGGGGCTGGAGAGGGGGTGGATGATGGGGCGGGGCACTGGACAGCGCAGAAAAAGACAAAGGGTTCAAAGGAAGAAATATTGCTGTGAGACATTTCCATAAAAGATCAGCAGGGGCCTGATGTCTGCCACACACTCCTCCGTCCCTCTGAGTGTGTTCAGAGCAGCAGATAAAACACCGACGACTTAACCGCTAACACAGATTCAGACCTCCACATTAAAAATGGATGGACAGATCATGATCCAGTAATGGATTCATATATTTGCAACATGCGGACGTCACACAAAGTTATCCTTTAGGGAATAACCTCACACAAAGTTATCCTTTAGGGAATAACCTCACACAACTGATCTACTCTGACTAACGCATCAATCTCAGTTAATGTGCACATGGAAATGGAACCAAAATAAATCATGGCTATTAGTACTATATGGACCTTTTGTTTTTTAACGTTTTATTTAAGGTCAAATACAAGGTTAGGTTTCACAAACTTAAGAAAAGTCACACATAGTCACACCAGATTACAAAAACTAATACAGCAAGACGCAGCAGACAAAAGAGTATTTTAAATCAGTTGACCATGTAATTAATAAACTGAAAAATAAGTAAAAAAAGACTAGAGGAAAGCAGCTTCCCTACACCACCTCCCCACTAAGTCACCGCCAAACCATGCTAACTTGATTAAGGCTGCCTGATAGGTTCTCACGTGCAGCTACCTCACAAAGAGCTGAAGCTATCCAGAGCTGGAGATGCCCTCAACGAAGGCCCCAGGAACTCCAAAATATGCCCGAGGTTGAAATGAATATCTGATCTCTTCAAGTTTGAAACGGGACATAATGTCCTGCAGCCACTGTGAGTGAGGCTGAGGGCAGGCATGCTTTGCATTTAACCCGGATTACAGGTTGTGCTGAAAGCCAGGTAGAGGCAGAGGGCTGGTTTTTGACTGTTAGCCTGTCCGTGCGCTCCAGGACCTGAAAGGACGGCTACTGGGGTTGGTTCAGCTTTAACATTGAATAGAAACGATATTGTATCAGATATTTGAGTTGGGTTGTTGCTGAGGTGGCGACATGAAAAGAAGATATGGTGGAGAGGCTTTTGTCGGGTCACATCTGGTCCACAGTGGGCTGACAGTGGGGGGCATGGAGGACAGTTTGGCCTCAGAGATATGGGCTCCATGTCCCACCTTAAGCTTTCTGTCCATCGGAAGTGACAGAGTGGAGTTTTTGAAAGAAACGGTGCTAGGTAGTTGCCTGTCTGTGTTATTACACACATTTCTAATAGCAGGAAGACCACCAAGAGCTGTAAAACAGCTGCTGCAGTTCAGAGAGGAGGACCCTTTTACTTCTTGCAGCATTTGGACCAGATAAAAGATTAAAGGATTAAACCCATCTGAACCTTCCTCTACAGTTAACCCCCTGTGTTCTTCTGGTGGTAAACCTAAAAAAATGGCTCGGTGCCGACCTTAAAAAGAGGATGTTTAAAAGACTACCTGATCAAGAATATGAATTAGTTTGAAAAAGAATATTGAAAATTTTGATTGATACGGATAGAAAAAAAATCAAACAAACGATGAATTGGGGTGAAAATACATGAAAACAAAGTCGGTTTCCAGCAGAAACAGGTCATGCCCATTCCTCCCTCCTGCTTACCCAGTTTGGGCTTCACAAAGCCGTTGGTGATTCCCAGGTTGTGAGCAGCCACAGTTTCTCCGTTGACCACTCGGAGCAAAGTGAATTCGGAAGACAAAGTGTGCATGACCATGGGCAGGTCCCGCTCTCGGACCTGAGGAAAGAAAGATGGAGATTCAGGGGACATTACACTGCATCTGTTCTTTTAGAGTTCCTCAGGACTATCCTAGCTGGGTCACCCCCCAACAGGGAGCAAAGACAGACTCAAACATCATGAAGGGGGAATACAATCCAGTGACGGTCAGGCAGTGACTGCTGGACTGCAGCAGAGGTCAGACGTTCCAGAGACAGTATACTAGAGCACTTCACTTTGACCTTTGTGTCAAATTCATCATTCATTTAAAAGTGAATTCTTCTGTCCTGTGGCAAAGCTCTTTTTGGGCTTGAATAAAGTCAACAAAGAAAGTATATCAGCGCTTTCCTTTTCCACATTGTTATGACATGAGGTGAAGAAATAATGACCAGAGGAACAAAAAAATAATAATCAGAGAACTTCAGAGAAGACCGCCCATGAGCTGGGAGAACTACGACTCAGGTGGAAGTTGATTAGATTTAAAAGCAAACAAAATAGCAATCCCAATCCTTTCAGTAGAAGTTCACTGCTCTCTTTAGGTTGATGTTTGTGGGAATCGGGTCCGGGTCTGTGGAGGCTGTGGGGAGGCTGTTGGGGCTGAGTTTAACTGTAAGAACGGTTTATCAGCTTTAACAAACCCCATTCACATCAGTGCACCTTCAGGGGGAAACATCTGCAGCCTGCTGCACAGTGGCCTTCAAGGACCTTGGGGAGCCAAATGCAAAATGTTCTCATTAAGTACACAGTCCTAATGAGAACATTCAGCATTTGGGTCACGCTTTGCCCCTTTATGCAACTCACACACCCAGAATGGGAAAACAAATCTGGAGCTCATGTGATCGCTTCCACATTTGGAAAACAGTGTAGTGTGAGAGGAGGATGAAGGCTGCAGATGGCTGGTGGACGCTTGTGAGGGGACGGGGGGGGGGGGGGGCGGTGGACACTCCCCTCCCACTCATGTGATGCTCCATCAGGAGCAGCGTGTGTCGGGACAGGAAATTGACCTGAGCCCGGTACCTTGAAATCCAGACTGAAATGCTGATCTTTTTTACATAACAGATTATCAACATGATCACAGCCCCCCCCCCCCAACCCCCCGTTCAAAAACATGCTTGTCACCAGACCTTGTTTTTCCACAAAAGCAAGGCAATAACAAAAGTCCCTGAGGCCTGGGCAAAAGAGAGCATTTCTAAATCAAAAGAGGGCAGGCTGGCGCGAGGTACACAAAACCCTAACTTATTACTTTTCTTCACGTCACAAACTGTGGATGTTGCATAACAGACAAAGAGAACAACACGGAGCGCTGGCTGATAAACCACCAGCTTTAAAAGGAAAGTGGAACCATTGTTCAGGCAGCATGTGAGAGGTGAGGTCTGTGCTGGACACCTCAGCTCCACCGGCCGCTGTCTGACCCCTCGCTGTCCACCTGAGGACCTCTGACCTCTGTCCACCAGCCGGTACAAAGATACCAGACACATCTGACATATGGATCCAACGAGAGCCTTTCACCCCCACTCACCAAAATGAAGTCGGTCTGATATGTGGACAGCATGAAGACGGAGATGTTGTGGTCAGCCAGGGGGGCGATGACTGATTTGGCGATTTTGGTGACGCCGATGGGCTGAGAGCTGGACGCGCTGCCCCCCCCGGACACCACGTTGAGGGCCAGCCACGTGGCGTCCGCCACACTGATGTGGTCAGACTGGGGCAGCTCTGAGAACAGACAGAGAGGGGGTTAATGCCACAAAGGGAGGAGTGTCTCACAGCTGTGTGGATCCTCTGGAGGCACTGGTCTGCTCCGTATAAGAACGCTCCCTTACCTGTCCCTGTGCACCACTACCCCCGTCTAATCCCTCATTAGGGCTGATGACCACCTGTGCTTTCATGTGTGGATGTATCCAGCCACTCCTTCCATTTTAGATAGCTGAGGATGACATCGTTGAGGATGACACCGTTTTGGTGGCAGCCATTACGGCCAAGCTCTGCTGTTCAGGACTGTTTTCTTTTTTCTTTACGATGTTCAGGTCAGTTAGGGTGTGAGGGCCATAGAGATACTTCTGACTTCCCTGACAAAGTCAGTTGTTGATTTTGAGGTGAACCATCTTTTTTGTGCGTTCAAAAGTAAACGCATGCCAAAGGTGTTTATCCAAAATCTTGGGATTTGTGTCATAACTGATTAAAATAGTTTATGAGAACCAAATACTTTGTGATAAATGATCCATCCAATTTCATCCATTTATCCGAGCTTTGGGCTGCAGGTTCAGGAGGGAAACCCAAACATCCCGCTTCCCAGTCTCCTCCTTTGGGATTCAAGGGCCAGAGGGACCTGAATTCAAATTTTTGGGAAATACTGAGGACATCACGTATGTAGCCACTTTATGGAAATTAGCTGATCTTTAAATCGTCAAAGTATTCATAGAAATGGAAAAAAGCTGCCTGAATGTTAACTTTTACTGTGCACAGCATATTAATGATTTAGTTTGCTGGACTACTTCCCAGCTCCCACCTGTTAGCTACTACCATACACTGATGATGGATATGAGATATGGTTCTTTTACAGGTTTATGATGCAAAGAGGACATGAGTTAGCGCTCTGGGAGGTTGGTACTATTTAAGGATTTGTCTGTCCTTTTACATGCAGCAGCTAGAGTTGTACATCTAGTGGATTTTTAAAAAGACTCAGGCTGAAGGCATGTTTAAGTGGCATAATAACCAGAAGGAGCCAGGATTCCTAGCACTGTTTAGGTCATGCCAACAAATGTATGGGGCATTTCCCATATAGGGGGTTCTAACGGTTACGCTCCCACTCTCTGTTGACAGTTAAGAAAACGTTATCTGACACCACTCGCTGGAGTTTCATCTCGTAGCCTGGTCCAACACAGAACAAGCACAAACACACTTGGAGCCAGTAGAAAATATCTGTAGCAGTTATACAACAAACAGCATGTGGTGTCCCGGGTAACCGGGAGGGTCAGAAAACAGTGTGTGATGATATGGACCCCCCCAAAACAAAATAAAAAATGAATTCAAAATAATCCCTGGTGAGCAGCAGCTTGGTCTGATCTCTATAAAAGCTGAAGCTACGCGGTGCTGTACAGGCCCAGTGAGAGCTGGGACTCTAAAGGACCCACAACAGGTGACACACCTTTGAAGCCCTCTTCATCGACAATGATGGTGTAGTCCTCCGGGGTCTCTGTTAGGCTGAAAAACTTGCATCTGAATGGGGGACACAGAGAAAAAGAGAGCAGATTAAAGAGTGGATGTGAGAAGCCTGAGTGGAGCTGCAGGTTATCCCAACGCCACTGATCACACATCTGAAAAATCCAGAAAACAAACTCAGCACAATGAGAGGAATGGAGATATTGAAGTGGAAAAAAATGAAAGAAGATTCAACTGGGAGACGTGTCAGCGAAACACAACATTTCCTGTAAATGTCTTCTTCATGATTTTACACATGATACGAAGCTCATGACTAAATCATTAATAAAACATGGCGCTTTCAATATCAACCTCCGGGCCAAGGGAAGGCCAGACCTGGCTGTGAGAAGAATCTCAATGATCCAAAGATGATTTATGGACTAAAACTCAGTTAAAGAAGATAAGTGAAGAATTCCTTCCCCAGATATTCTAATCTAAAATACATAGATAATCATTCAAATGTGGGCGTTTAAGGCTGTGCTGTGGCTGTAGATGAACCACTCCACTTATTGCTTCTGATGCCTTTGTCCTGTCTGTGTCCTGTTTAATCCAAATCAGATCAGTTGGGGAACCAGACCATTTATTGACTGGTTATTAGGACTAGGAGCTATTCAGAAATGTAGAGAAAACAACCTATTTTTGGTTTAAAAGCCTTTGGCGTTGCCTTGGCCTGCATAGACCACAGGACACGTGAGCCCGGGGGTGTCTGGATTACCTCCTCCCGGGACCACTCACGGTGGCTATCCACAACTCATCTGTCCCGGTAGAAGGTGCTGGCAGGACTCAGGCAGTGCTTGAGCCATGGAAGAGCACTCCTCACTACACAACCCAAAACAAGCCTGCAACTCTGTATACAAGAACGACACCAGCAGCTATTTTTAGTATTTAGCTGATTTTCTGCTTTGTGCTCGTAGATTGAAGACTTTTGTAAAACTGCCCCTCTGCGCGGGGGAAAAAGAATCACTGCTGCTGGTATGAGAAAAAAAACAACTAAATATTGTCCCTTAATAGTATTTCAAGCATGTTAAATGTTAAAACAAACCTTTAAACCCTTCATATGCCCTAAAAGCAGCGTCTGTCTTCCACTCTACGACCTAGAGAAGCGTCCCATTAAGAGGGACTCAAGCTGAATTTCAGTTTGCAGCCATATTCAAAGTAGAGATACAGAAGGAGGTGTAAGATTTGTGGTTTGAACAGATGAACAGCAACACTGACGGCATAATGACTGATAAGCTCAAAGATCAGCGACCACATGATTAATGATTGGACAACAGAAAATATCAATCCAGTTCTGCATTTCACAAAACTGGTGTGTCCTTTTTCAGTCCTAATGAGGAAACTGTATCAAAACAAAACAAAAATAGCATGCTGAAAAGAGATAATAAAGTTGAATCTTTAAGAAACATCAAATTACATGGACTTTTTCCCACCAAAAGCAGCACTAGGCGACAGGGGGAGGGAAAACTGCCCTGATGAGGCCTTCCTCTCATGTCCGGGCTGATAACATTACAATATGATGGGAATTCATAAAGCCTGAATTAGGACCTGGATGGGATCCCGTCCACAGCTCGGGGCTTTAGGGTGACCGTGTTGTTCTCTAGTGGGGGCAGCTGTGGCCCGTATCACTCACATTCTACATGCATCCCAGGAACTTCACAGGGAACCTTTAAATGAGTTTGCATTGCTCAGCTCCTCATTCCAGTGGCTCTCACAGCCTTCCACTGGATCACAGCAGGGGGTGTTACACAACCACATCATTTATAGAAACTATGTAGATGCCTCACTACACTATTACAACCAACAATCCACACTCATATCCACATTACACTCATCTAAACCTCAAATTTAATTCCTCACTAGAGCAGTTAAGGTGGATAAACCCACTCTGGGAGGACATGCTTCTCCTCAGGTTCTGATGGAATAACTGAACCCGTCCATGCACTAAGTCCCAGAACGTGGTGAGAGCACAACGGCGTGGAACTCCCTGAGAGAAATGTCAGAAATAATCCCCTGTACAGTCAGATCTCTGTGAAGGAGGGAAAACAGGATGCAGGGATGGGTGAGTCATCCTCTCAGGCCGGGCTCAGATCTGCTATCTGAGTGATCCGACCACCAGAGCCCGGCGCTGGATTCAAACTGGACTGAGGACCAAGCTGGTTCAGCGAGCACGTCCAGGACCACGGGCTCACCTGGAAAACGGGAGCTGTACCGCTCCATTCTCAGAGGAGCTCCCATTAAGCCCTCACACTCCGCTTCTCAGTCCAGACTTGATTTGAATGGCCCAGAAAAGATGGCTGTGCCGGGCATGATGGGAACATCAAAGGCGTGGCCTCAACATGGAGGCTCCTACAGGCTGAGGGGGAGTCCATCACAGCTAGGAAGAAACAGGACTAGGTGGTGGATTTAAGGAGGTTGTTTTTCATGGAATTATGTTTTAGATCCACATAATGAAGAGCCTTGGTGGGGGGCTGATAGCAGCACATGTGCCTCCTGTGTGTCGGGCAGAGAGCAGGATCTGGCCAAAGATGATGAAAGCCTGCCAACAGCCCACTGCCTCTGCTGCCCACAGGTCAGACCCACACAAAGCAGCCGGCCACACGGCTCCTTCAGGAAGAGTAGAGCCCGTTAGGGCCAGGCCTCCAGCAGCACTCCCACAGGAGGAGAGGTGGGAGAGCTGAAGGCATTAAACCGGCCTGTGTTTGAGTCAAATCTGAGGAGAGACTCTTTATAAAGACTTGGTTTTTGCTCATTGTGGTTGGTTTATGGATATGAACAAAAATGGCTCGCGCAGATGCATTCACACAACTACCAACGAGTGCTTAAAAAGACCTTAACCACAGATCCAGAGAGGAACGGTCTGGGTGGGCCCAGAACGCTGATCCTGAGGGGGGGGGGCTGGCTTCACCAGGTCAGCCAGCTCGGTTTCCTGCTCCAGCCTGGAAGAGTTCTCGACTGAAAGTTTTGGAGACGGGTTGGTTATTTGGGAGGCGAGGATGGGGCTGAACACACACGCGCATGCTAGAGCGGGCCGGCTCTGACCGGAGGTGCGGACACTCATTTGGAGCTCCGCTCGGACCGCCTGACACTTATCAGCCTCTTTATCCAGCAGAGGCCCCCCCGCTCAGCACTCAGGCGCTGACGCCGTGTGTGTGTGTGTGTGTGAGTGTGTGTGTGTGAGTGTGTGCAGAGGGGGGGGGCACTCCTTGCCTGGACACTGAAAGGCCAGAAAAACAAGTCAACACATTAAGCACAAAGAAAGGCCTGGCTTGTGTAGGAGCGGGGGATAATGGAATAAAGCTTTTCTGGACGGTCTTGTGACCCGGCGGGCCGATCTTTGCTCCTGAGCTCTGGCTCTGAATAAAACACTTCCACAGCAGCCCACCTGGCTTTCCCTCCCATGAGGCGTGGATTCTGTTGTGCCAGGGAGCAGGATTTCATTAGCAGCCCCCGCTGGGCCCAGCCGGGCTGCTCCGTGCTCCCCAGGACCGCTCGTTTTTCAGCCTGGGGGGGATCCACTACAGATTTATTTGTTTCCATTTCATTGTGGGCTTCTCTTAACCAAAAAAGACGGGCTCACGTGGTGAGTGGTCAGAAAAAGAGTCAGAGGAGATTAGAAGGCTCCCCTGAAACTGAACATGAACAAACTAAAGCTCTTTAGCTCTGTAACAGCAGGCTCCTGTCAGCGCGGGACCCTCTGGGTGAAGAACAGGACTACAGAGACCAGCCACAGGGAAAAGCAGAACCCAGACCCTGAGCTGCAGAACCGCTGTGGTCTACAGAACACCCGCGTCCTCAGGTCCATATGGACTTACGTAAGCCCCGGGAGCTGGACGGCTGCCAGCCTCCACTGAGTCTGCCCCCAACTCTAAATGTTGTCTGGTCACCCCGAGGGGGGGTCCAGGGCATCGGGGAACCAGAGGGAATGAGACTGATCCACAGAGCGCCCCCCTGAGCTGCTGCCCATAGAGCTGGACGGGCCCGATCTGCACACGTAGCAGCTCTGACCAGCTCTGACCAGGCCTCGCCGCTGGGTCACAGCGGGGGGGGGGGGGGGGGG